TTTTTCATTGAATTCGGTTATTCCATTGTTCTTTAAGTACTTTCGAGCTCATTGAGTTTTTTCTTTCTTTCAACTACTGTTGAAATTGAGTTTTCAACTACTGTCTTTCATTCATTGGACATGTCCGTACCATTTGAGATGCCTTCATTGTATGCCATCCATGACTGTACCTTCTATTCTCATACTTTATTGCATCCATTTCAGCGACATATCTTTCTTCGATGTCTCTGTTAATCGTCTCGTTTCACAACCGTGTAAATAAAAGCATGCTTTTTACCATAGTTTCATGGGTTCTAGTGCTAGAGAGCATGTCAGCTGAGCCAAAACGAAAAATAATCCTCCTGATTGCTTCCACTGGAATAAACTTGATTGTTTAACTGGGCCCGGACTACCTTCTTCTTATTCTTTAAACTCCTGTTTTGAAACTAATAATAATCATTATTTTGTCTAATTACCTATTTAGTTGTCAAGACAGATACATTGTTACCTAAAGAAGTGAAAGTGGTTCAATTTAGAAATTATATCGTAAATAATAAATATTTGAAAACTAATGCATATATTCCTCCCACGATTTGAGCTACTAATTTTATAAATCGCACCACTAATAGACGTAAATCCCTTCATTTTAATTTCATGAATGTTTTTATTCGCCACATCTCAACATTTTCCATTTCAGAATATTTATCATCAAGCTGTAATATACGTTAAAAGCCAATTTGTCAGCAAAAAAACAATAACAAAAGAAAATATAAGACATAAAAAAAACCAATACACTTATATCTTGTTATACATTATTTTGTTATAAAATTTTATAAAAGTTTGTCTTCGATTTAATTGTTATGAATTATTTACAGGACGATTATTTGTTACCTGTATGTACCCTTGCTAAGTTGTGAATTAATTATTCAATAAATAATATTACTCGTATTATTCTAATTACCCCATAATCGCAATGAATAGAAGACCTCCCGCTCGCTTTATTGTATACACCCAAGACTTCACAATAGGAGGTTGTAAGTAGGTAAAAATATAAAATTTAGTACCAGATGACGTTTAGAATATTCTTCGTGAATGGATTTTGTTTTCGTAAAGAAAGATATTTTTGAAATAGATAGCTCACTGAATTTTACCGTTAGGATTATCGAGGATAGGCCTTAATTCTGCAATCACTTTTGTGAGAAATATTGCGATTTGCGAGATTTCTTCCAGTCTCACCAATATACTCAGCTTCACACTGAGTACAAAAAATGCTGTATACTACATTTGTTTGATCTAATTTGTCTATAGGATATTTAGTTTTGGAATATAAAGATGAAATGGTTTTGATGTTCTTTGTTGCTATTTTTATATTGTCAATAACCTTTAGTGTTTGTATTAATTTAGGAGTTAATGATGGTATAAAAGGTAGTGAATGATAATATATGTTTTGATTGTTGGATACAGTGTTTTGAGATTTAGCAAAAAATGGTGTTAAGTTATTTATATTTAATAAATTAGAAAAAAGCATCCTATGTAGCATATCTGGAGGATAAGAGCTTTCAATTAAAATATTTTTTTAACAAATGAAGATCTTCTTGTAGATAGTCTGGATGAGAAAGTTTTAAAACACGTTAATTTAATCCTGTTATAAGGTTCATTTTCATCTTATTTGGATGATTAGAGTAATAGCTTATAAATCTATTACTACATATGGGTTTTCTGAACCATCTGGTTTTCAACATATTGTCTGTATTTCTTACAATTCTCATGTCAAGGAATGGTAGAGAATTATCTACCTCTTCCTCAACTGTAAATTGTATATGTTGATTATGATTGTTGAAAATGTTGACTATTTCAAGAATTTTGTGTTTAGGAAGTGCCAAAACTAGATCATCTACATATCTTTTGATAAATGGAATGAAAAAAGTGCAATTATTGATACAATCACTAATAACATCATCCATGACATAGCTACTTAGAATGGGTGAAAGACTAGATCCCATAGGGCTACCAAAAATTTGTTTATAAAAAACACCATTAAATATAAAAATATTAGAATCAAAAACAAAGTTGATGAGTGTTTTAAAATGTAATAAGTCAATATTAGTATGTTGCGAAATCTCATTCCAATGTTTTTCAACACTACTTATGATTAAATTTAAAGGTAAATTGCTAAAAAGAGATGTTACATCAAAACTAACTAATTATATAACAAACTAATTTTATTTGGTGAGTTAACAAAAAAATTTTTATTTTTAGTTCAACTTTGTAAGATATTTTGTATTTTTTAGAAGCTCTTGAGAATAATTGTAATCACAATTGAAAGCTCGAGTAAAAAATAGTCAACAAATAGCCCTTTTATTGACTCCAACCCATCCAAAACAGTTTTATATTTTTTCGAAACGCGTCACAAGTACATCTTTTTTCTTACTCTTATATATATATATATATATATATATATATATATATATATATTTATATATATATATATATATATATATATATATATATATATATATATATATATATATATATATTATATATATATATATATATATATATATATAATATATATATATATATATATATATATATATATATATTATATATATATATATATATATATATATATATATATATATATATATATATAGTATTAAAGTCTTGGTGCGCCAAGCAATTAACTAGCTAATTAATTAATGAATTAATTAAAATGATTTAAATGATATGATTATGACTCTATCACACTTTTTAATTCTCTTATCTCAGGGTTAAATTCGTGCTTCAATATCTATGCTATTACATGTGGAAGGTAAGGTCCAAAGAATTCCGGAATAATAAAAAAAACATATAGGATCTAACGTTATATATTGAAATAAAATAATGAAATAAAATTCACACTCAAATGTTTTCGATAAACAAATCTCATATAATGATTCTCAAAATTTTGTTCTACGTACGTGAACCTTCAAAATTAATGGTACAAATAATATTAGTTGAAATCTCAAAATCCAAATATTATTCTAAATCTCTATTCTCCTAATCAAAATATTTATATCCTTTCTAAATTAAGTGTAAAAATTGTGTTATCAATGAAAGAAAAACTGCAGAAAACAAAACTATCTCTCTCTGATGATGAGTGGTCCAAATCCTTGTTATTTGTAGACTATATTATTTACTCGTGGCCGCTCCCTAGGTAATCAGCAATCTTACAACAAATTATTGCAAGTATATCGTCCTTAATAATCTCCTTCAAATGCACGAATCGTTCAAATTATGCTAGCTTCTTCTTCTCTCAATAAACTGAATCTCTCGTTGGCCTGAGTGAAAAATGACTCTTGGAATATCTTTTCTTTACGATAAACTGAATCTCTCGTTGGCCTGAACAGTGACTCTTGGAATATAAGTAGAAAAATATGACTTACAATATTTTACTGGATCAGCTTCTGTCAGATACACTAACTACACGAAAACTCACAAACTTTCACTGCTACTGCTTCCTACCTCTGGGAAACTACCCGAGAACAACGGCCGTTCGCCTTGCACCCTTGGAAACCAATTGATTATCTTTTCTCTCTCAAAAATCTAGCTAAACTTTCATTCCTACATACCTATCCCACCTTTTTCAATCTCCGCCAATCAAAGCTCGTCACAATTCCCCCATTTTTTCATTTCGATAACAAACAAATTTTTACCTATAATTATAAAATTTCCTAAAACTTATTTACAAATAATATTTTTCTACAATTCTTAAAAACTAACAAAAACCTCTTTCTAAAATCTATTCTATTGTCCTTAATCACTGCAATAATGTATTTGGAAAAACCCGGTTCAATTGTCTTTGGATTTCACTTAAAATTATGCGGGTCACTCAAGTATAGTATAACAAAGGAAATAATTTATGCATAGCTTACATTTTGTTTAATACAGGTAATCCAAAAATTTAAAAACTTTCCTTCTTCGAAATGTTTGTTGGTTATTATCCTACTTATCTGAATTATTTTAATGTTTTTGAACTTTGAAATATTTTAATCAAACCAATATTTTTCTCGATTTTACATATCATAACAATATATATATATATATATATATATATATATATATATATATATATATATATATATAAATATAAATATATATATATATATATATATATATATATATATAAATATAAATATATATATATATATATATATATAAATATAAATATATATATATATATATATATATATATATATATATATATATATATATATATATATATATATATCTCCTGTTCTGTCTCACATCATCAACCTATCATCTGTCAAGGATGGCAAGTTTCCAAGTGATCCATGTTTGGTTGATAATTACAGGCCAATCACTGTAACAAGTGTACTCTCTAAGATTATCGAAAAGTGTATTTATAGTAAAATGTTAAATTTTCTGAATAAATATTATATCTTAAATAAATTTGAGGATGAGTTTCTTTCTAATAAATCTACAGAGAGTGCTTCTATTTCATTATTTAATTATTATCCACGCTGTTTTGGATCGAAAAAGGTATGTGGGTGCACTCTATTTTGAGTTAACTAATGCTTTTGACTCTCCATTTTTGTGCATTTTGACATTGAAATTAAGTATACTGCATAAATTAGAAGCCATTGGTTTTTGGGTCATTTCTTGAACTGGTAAGGGCCATACTTCTTCTTCTTCGCGTGCCATATCAGATTTATCCGACGTTGGCGATCCCCATTGCGAAGGCTTCTCGATCTTCTGCAATACGGAATAATTGTCCTGCATTTGGTATCTGAGTCCATTCACGAATGTTTTTTAACTTGTGTTTAAATAAACTTAACTTTAAATTGTGTTTAAAGTAACTTAAAGTTTAACGTAACTTAAAATTGTGTTTAAATAATCTCTACAGGCTAATTGTCACATAAATGAATTATATTGAATAAATTATAACACAAACCTTTGTATGAAGTTAAAAACAGAATTGACGTAAAAATTTAATAAATCTAATATATATTCTCTTTCAGTACCCTGTCCAATTTGCCATATTTACGAGTAATCGAAGATGGTACTTTCAGTGATATGCCTAAATTAAGAACATTGTAAGTATATTTTAATTTAAATATGTTAACGTTTAAATTTTGAATTAGCAAACTTTGGTTCTACACTTCGAATGTAGAAATATTTTATTTCGAGTAGGGACTTATGTTCCCGGTTAGTAATTCAATTCCGTCGGCACATTGTCATATAATTTAATACTTTGAAGTACTATCCGTTGCAAGATAATTCGGATGGAATTTCCCAGATTAAGAGACTGGGCCAATATCAAACACAAAATGACTGTACTCCCTTAATGCTGTAACGAATAGTCAATCTTAGTCTCTTGTTACATTAGGTTCAATTTTAAATTCTATTCAAAGTGTAAAGGTACTTTACTAAATGACACAAAGTAGGTGTAGCCAGGTACGTATTTCAATTTTGAGTTGTTAACGATTGGTAAATAAAATTTTAAGCATAATTTTGTGTATCTATTTAAATTTAATCAGCTAATTGCATTTGTACTTTGAATTCAGAATTACAAATTTCTAGGTACGTAAAGCCAGTGTTTATAAGAGATTAGAAAATTTCTTAGAAGTTTATTCAGGTAAAAGGATAATGTTTCTTCTTCTTCAAGTTCCATTCCTATCGGAGATTGGAAATCATTCTGGCAATTATAATTTTATTGGTTACTCGCCTGAATAGTTCAATTGAACTGCATCCAAACCACTCACGGAGATTGCGTAGCCACGAGATTTTACGTCTTCCTACGCTTCTTCTACCTTTGATTTTACCCTGCATTATATTCCTTAGTAGTTCGTACTTTTCACCTCTCATGATCTGCCCCAAGTATTCCAATTTCCTGATCTTTATGGAATTTAAAACTTCGCATTGTTTTCCTAGTTGTTCGAGAACTTGCTCGTTTGTTTTGCGATCCATCCATGATATTTTCAAAATGCGTTGGTAACACCACATTTCGAATGCTTCTAGGTTTTTAATGTTGGATTTTTTAAGTGTCCAAGCTTCAACTCCATACAAAAGGGTAGAGAAAATATAACATCGAAGCATTCTTATCCGGAGCGATATATTGATATCGCGATTACAAAAAAGTTTTCTCATTCTATTAAAAGTTGACCGCGCAATTTCAATGCGGCATCTTATTTCTTTTGTCTGATCAGTATCTTCTGTGATCCATGCTCCAAGGTATTTGTACGAAGATATTTGTTCAATTTCTGTATTGTCTAGTACTAGCTTAACTTTGATGTTTTGTGCTTTTGTAAATACCATGAACTTTGTTTTCTTCAAATTGATTTTTAGTCCATATTCGTTGCAATATATATTTAGTTGTTCAGCAAGGTGTTGCAGTTCTTCTAGTGTTCCTGCCAAAAGGACGGTGTCGTCAGCATATCTTATGTTATTAAGTGGCTCACCGTTTATTATAAGGCCCTCACTGATCTCGGCAAGCGCTAATTCTGAGATGGCTTCACTGTATAAATTGAATAACAAGGGTGATAAAATACACCCTTGGCGGACCCCACGGCGAATCTGGATATCCTTGGTCAGTTCGTTTTCAACTTTTACTTTTGCTGTTTGATTCCAATAGAGGTTGCAGATGATTCTAATGTCTCTACTGTCTATGTTTTTATTTAATAAAATTTCTTTAAGTCGATTATGTTGCACTCTGTCAAATGCCTTCTCAAAATCAATGAAACAGGCATATACTTCCTGATTAATATCTAAGCATCTCTGCGAAAGAACACTTATTGCAAACAGTGCATCTCGTGTTCCCAGTCCTTTCCTAAATCCCATTTGTGTATTACTTATGCCTTCATCTAATTTCTTATGTATTCTATTGTGAATTACTTTTAAAAACAATTTCAAGACATGACTCATTAAGGCTATGGTGCGATGTTCATTGCACTCCTTTGCATTGGCTTTTTTGGGAAGCAGTATGAATGTTGATTGGAGCCATTCTTTAGGTATTATACCTGTTCTATATATGGTATTGAATAGATCGAAAAGAAGATCAATAGATTCAGTATTCACAATTTTAAGTAATTCGATAGGAACTTCATCAGGCCCGGGAGATTTACCATCTTTAGCTTGTTTCATTGCATATTCAATTTCTTCTCGTATAATGTCAGGCCCAGTATCATCCTTAAATTCTTTTGGTGCTTCTGTTCTCTCTTTGTCTTCAAATAGTTGTGCTATATATTGTGTCCATCTCTGCATTTTTTGATTTATATCTGTTATAAGTGCACCCCTTTCATCTCTTAGTTGCCTAGTTTGAAGTGTTTTTCTTATTCCTGTTAATTCTCTAATTCTTTTATGCATGTTAAAAAAGTCGTATTTTTTCTCAATTTTTCTAGTTCTTGGCACTGCTCATGTAACATTCTCTCCTTAGCTTCTTTTATTCTCTTTTTTATTAATCGATCAGTTTCATTATATGTAATTGGATTTTTTGTTTTGAATGATTTTCTTTCATTCATTAATAGTAGTATTTCTTCAGTCATCCAATCTTTATGTTTTCTACTCTTTGGTTTTAAGTTTTCATTTGCTGTTTTAATTATTGCTGCTTTTATATTTTCCCATTTCTGATCAATGTTATAGCTACTTTTATTCAGTTCTTGGACATTACGTATATTTTCAGTAAGAGTTTTTACAGTTTGTTCCTTTGTTTGTGGTTCCCTTAATCTCTTAATATCAATTCTACTTTGTGTGGGTTTTTTAACCAGTTTTAATTTGGTTCGTAATGTGACTACTATGGGGTTATGGTCTGAACCGATGTCTGCTCCAGGGTAAGTTTTGGCAGACAGTATAGAATTACGAAATCTTTGTCTAATAAGGACAAAGTCAATTTGATTTCGGATTATTCTATTCGTTGTATCACCGGGAGATTTCCATGTATACAACCTTCTTTTTGGTAGCTTAAAATGTGTATTAGCTATTACAAATTCTTCCGTCTGGCAAAATTGTATCAAACGGTCACCACGTTCATTTTTATTTCCTAGACCATATTCCCCCACATATCCATCCACTCTTCCCTGGCCAACTTTGACATTGAAGTCGCCCATTACTATTGTAGTGTGATGTTTTTTCATTGATTTTAAGACTTGTTCCAAATCATGGTAAAACAGTTCGATATCGTCGTCATCTTTATCTGCCGTAGGAGCATAAACTTGAATAAAATTTACTATACCTTTTTTAGACTGTAGTTGTATTGATAAGATCCTATCAGAATAAGGAGTAAAACTTATCACAGAGTAATTGACCTTTTTTGCAACTAAGATAGCAACACCGTAACGATGATTGACCTCGTTGTTACCTGAATAATACATGGTTTCATTATTTGTAATTTGTTTGCCTGAACCTGGCCACTGTACGTCACTTATACCTAAAACATCAATTTGGAGGTTTTCCATTTCAAACAGTACGTTCGCTAATTTACCACTTGCATATAAACTTCTGACATTCCAGGTTGCTATTTTCAATGTCTTAAGTCCACAGGGATTTCTCTGGTTTACGACCTGGGAGGCCCTGTGATCTACAGTTGTTCCTCCCCTGCCGGATCTTGGATTCCGTGCTCCATAATCAGTAAGTTTGTCATTTGTCTATACTCTACTTGTCATTTGCCATTCATGACTTTACTAGGGGTACTCTAAGAGTCTTTAATGCAGTGGTTCCCCGTTGCCTTTCCCCGGTGCCCTTCCACTTATTCACTCATCCGCCCGCAGCCGTTGGTCATAAGTGGGGGATTGCTTATACCGGCAATCATTCGGTAAATTACCTGTTGGTCCACGGGAGGTATTTTATTTCCCTCCTACCCACCGGTCAACCGGGTCGGGCATTCCCCTATCCGCCACCTGGGGACGCGCTTTCTAGAGGTTACAGGTTCCTCCGAAAGGGATAATGTTTACTTAATATCAAATTATCACTAAATGGGCTTCTGTGAGAAGAAAGTTTATTTGAAAAGAACTTCATTTTTTTCTGTCGTTTATTTACAACAGAAGTCAGTGTAATAACTATAAATATGAGTGATATAAAAATGATAAGTGACGATGTCCTGTACATTCCTGCCACTAGTTCAGGAAGTAAAAACGAGTCTAAACCTGAAAAACGTTAACCCTTTAGTTAACCTTCCTAATAAGGGTGAATTTTAAAACGACTAGTACCACGTGGGGTGACTTCTCGCCCGAGTAGTTTGGTTCACTTTTAAGCGCAAGGGTCTTATGTATCTCATTAATTTTACCATTTTTTTAACTTTTTATTGCCTGTGTACTTTGTTTAGTACCAATTCCACAATTTAAAAATCAAAGACAGAAGACAGTCACATTCAGAAACTCACCAAATAAACAGGTAATTTTAGCAGTTATCAAATATCAGATGTACTTAGTGCTAATTGCACTTTACAAATTTTTAGAGAGTCAACCTCAACTAAAAATTGAAGCTTCGAAGGATCTAGACAAAAATATGCTAATAGGGGAATTACAAAAGTTCCCACTGTGTAATAGCAAGAATGGAATTTCAAAGATAAAGGAAACACATTACAATCAACTGCTAATATGTAAAGAATGCGACTGCACATCATGGCATGTAATTAGTACAGTCATTAGTAACCATTTGCCAAAACTTTCGTCGAAATTCATAAAAACTGATTTGTAGAACGTGAAAACACTCGATACCACGTGGGGCGAATTCTCGTCCTACATAAATTTCCGCGAAATCCGACAAGAATATTTAATTTTCTGTTCACGGTATTTTGAGTTCTACTAATTCTTTGTGCTTTCAATACATCAACCACCAAATGTTCTATACCGTTAAAGCGATTGATTAAACTTAATTACAGATATTAATAAAAACGTTAGACCTGGGACAAGAATTCACCTCACCCGATATTAGGAAGGTTAATCATATTTACCGATTAACTAATTCATTAAAAACACAGAATTTTGAGTAGAATTCCTTAAAAAGTAAAATTACATATTTTTTCTAGGTCTTTTATCGACGATGGTTAAATCAGAAGCGGTCAAAAAGACTATTTTTTGACACAAGTGTCACGTTTCTGGTACCCATCGAGTTTTACCAAATTTTTATTTATCAGCTATACGGGAAACAATATATCATATTATATATTCAGTGAATAACTTACCAACTTTAAGTAAACTTTTAATTGAATTAAGAAATAAAGAAATAATTCCTGAGTATCATAAAACTACTTTTTGGAGGTTTTTAAAATTTTTAAAAGGATTTATGTTTATAACAGTGAGTAAACGGCAGGCAAACTATGGAATCCAGCCGCTTAATAAAGTGGATGGAAGAACTTGCATTATTTGGATAAAGCTTGGATTGACATCCACAATATAGTTAAAAAATGTTAGACCGATGGTAGTAAAAATTGCGTCACCAATGTTCCTCCCTCTAGAGGGAAGAAAATTTGTATTTTACATTGTGAGGAAGAATCAGGATGGGTAGAAGATGCTGTACTACTCTCTGCCAAGAGTGTAAGTGATTGTTGCTTAGATTATCATCAAAATATGGACAGTACTTTGTTTAAAAAGTCGTTTGAGCAGCAATTACTACCTAAACTAAAAAGAAATAGCGTTATTATATTGGACAATGCTGCGTATAATTGTAGAGTAAATAGTAAAAAATCCAAACACTAATTTAATCAAAGTTGAAGTTTAGGAATTTTTATCAAAACATGAAATATATTTTATGGATTCTTATACAAAAAAAACAACTTGTAGAACTAGTAAAATTAGTTAAATGTGAAAAAAATTATGATATCAACAGGCTAGTTGAGAATTATGGCGATAAAGTATTAAGATTTCCTCCTTGTGTTCCTTGTTCCTCCCCTAAAGTGAGAAAAAATAATAATTCTCCTAAATAATTTTCGACTGTTGTAGATTTAATTAAGACCGAATGTAATAAGATTACAGCAGATAATTGGAAAAAATGTATAAAGCATGTCAAACAACTAGAAGAAAAATAACAGTTTCAAAACATTATAGAGTAGTTATCAACGATAGCGATGATAGTGATACCGATTTAAATGTAGACGATAGTTGAGTTTAAATTTCTTTTGTATTATTTCACTATGTTAAATACCTATATATTTTAATATAAAAGTATTACTTATGTGTATTTTTCTTGTACTTTGTGGAATTGCCGTAATTTTGATAAAATGTATCAGTATATAGTCCAACCCTGTATACAACTATACCTAGAAGATTAAATCCAAATTATCTTGCAACGAACAGTGTGTTTTACCCATCGAGCAAAAGGACAAAAGAGGGAATCTAATCCTTATGAAATGGAGACCAAAAAAGTGGCCTCTGATGGCGGACATATCCGGAAATGCGAATGTGCAAAATTAAATTGTCCGACACTTATTAACAGTAGCTATATAATAGTTTTCAGAATGTGTCTTAAACAAGAAACTTTAAATAAATATTAACTCTAACAGTCTAAAACGTGACAAAATTGTTAAAAAATTTCAATATAAGTAAGATTTCATGTGACAGTTGGGACAAACAATAGCATAACCCAACTAAATATGATTTCTTCACAAGACCAAGACAAGAACAAGACAAGAGACTGTCTTTCCTTGTTTAATGTGGCCTCTCAAGATGGCACTTCCTGTCTAACAATATTTTTGCCCCCACTACCTTTACATTCCCTCTTTTATCTTTTTGCTCGATGGTTTTACTTAACCACTGTTAGTTGAAACACCCAAAGTGGATCACCCAAAAGTTCACTGAAGATGGACTGATTGGGCCGAAAATGCCCTGAATTTTTTAATCCATTTGGATTTTTTAATTTAATAAATATACTGTTCTGAAGCTATTTTCTTGTGGCATTTTAAATTAATTACTATTTAACTAGGAATACGCCACAATTAAAGAATAGAATTTTTAATTAAATTAACTTAAATTAAATTAAATTAAATTTTTAATTAAATCAACAATCGATCGAGTACAACAGAACAACTTAGAACGAGATGCTACAGCATACACAAGGAATAATATGAGGAAAATAACAATACCGTACATAAAAGGATTATCAGAAAAACTTAAAAGGATAGGAAATAAATTCAACATTTCAACAACATTCAAAACAAGAGACACGTTGAGATCTATTTTGTCCAAACCAAACCTAACAATGAACAAGAAAGGACAAAGAATTGCATTTATAAAATACCTTGTGAATGCGATCAGTTTTATTTTAGGTGAATCATCAAGGCCATTAAATGTTAGAATAAGTGAACATCAATCTTATATTAAAAATAGAGAATTTAATAGATCTCAAATATGTAAACACGCATGGAATAATGAACATAGGGTTCAATGGAATAATTCAAATGTAGTCCTAAAAGAAACAGTGGTAAAAAAAGAAAAATCAAAGAAGCGGCTCTAATTATGCTAAATGAGGCCAATTGTGTCGCAAATTCCTCGGTAGAATGTAGTAGGATCTGGTTACCAATATTGAAAGAGGAAGTTATCATTTATATTTTTTAAATAACGTAACATATAAAATCAGAATTTTGATGTTTGTTGAAGGTAAACTAAATTCACGAACAAATACTTACAATGTCGGGATAGTATTATGAGGTTTTTTTCCTGGTTTTTCCCTCATAATTTACTATGGAATCACTAACAGGAGAATTTTACTATCATCATGTCATGTGTTTGTCTTTTTAAAGACGAATTACATGCTATGATTTTTTTCTGACGGATATTCTCAAGTTAAAGTTGATTTCATGTAATCGAATAAACTATCTTATAAGTAAAGTCGTCCCAGGAGCGCAACTCAACAATATTGGCAATATCATTTTAAAGTCGTCTACTTTAAAATGCATAATGTATGTCTGAATTGTCAATATAAATGAGTCAGATGAAATAAAATTATTAGAATTTTTCACTATGTAACAAAAAACAAAATTTGTTTAATTTACTGTTTGTATTTTGAGAACGATTTCCGAAGTGGAAATTGAAACGTCAATAAACGTATTTTTATCTTTTATTGTGGCGTATTTCCAGTTAAATAGTAATTAATAAATATACAACAGAAGTTTTTTACTGCAAAATATACAATTTTTAGATACATTTCTAATGCACCTCAGATAATGTTTCTACATGGAGTACTGAAAGGAATTACATCACATACTTTTTATTCATTGTAAGTAATTTTCACGAGTTTTGTAAGTGTGTTGAGCTTTCAATTTCTTTTTTTAACTAGTAGTTAATTACTTGTTTATCTATATTTTATTTAAATGATTATTATATTTTTAGAAGGATAGTGTGGACGAGACTAACAGAAATTCCTGACCTATACGATCTTTCGATAAACAACACGTTATTTCTTTTGTAAGTTTTAGTGTTTTTTATAATATTTATTGAAATAGTAATGTTATTTTGTACGTATGCTATTTTGTACGTATAAACTAATAGTCAGAAGTTAAGTAAATAAGACAATCAAACTTGTGAGATCCAGCGTCGCATAGGCTTGGGATGGGCAGCATTTGGCAAGATGCGAGATATTCTAAAAGGAACGCTACCGATTTGCTTGAAGAAAAAGGTTTACAACCAATGCATACTGTCAGTAATAACATATGGTTCCGAAACAATAACTTGAACCAAACATTCTGCAAATAAATTGAGAGTAACCCAAAGAAAAATGGAAAGAGCAATGTTGGGAATAACTAGAAGAGATATGGTACCAAATAGGATAGTGAGAGAGAGGACTAAAGTGACAGATGTCATAGAAAAAATTGCACAAGCCAAATGGAGATGGGCTAGACATATAGCACGTTTAAATGATAATAGGTGGACCAAAAGACTCATAGAATGGAGACCTAGAGAAGACAAAAGACACCGTGGCAGACCACCAAAAATATGGATGGACGACTTGAGAAAAACAGTCGGAAATTGGATACAGAAGGCGCAAGATAGAGAACAGTGGAAGAACATGGAGGAGACCTATATCCAACAGTGGATGCAAGAGGTTGAGGAATAAAGTAAATAAGATGATACCAAGAATTTTTATTAAATTAATGTACCTTTACTTATCATCTATTGCAAGAGACAATAATAAAAAATGACATAAACAATGTATGATCTATCTCTAAAAACAGATTTATTCTCTATTAAAAACATTCTCTCTTTAAATTAAGTATTTGGTCCCCAATGGTAATGTTAGACTCCCCGCCCGCCTATCTTTGGTATGATCTATCCTTGCGTGTTAACAGGTTGGACGCCGCATGCCTAAGCCCCTTTGGTATAAAGTCTTGTAGGTTTTTTACCAATTATACAATTTTTCCCAGACTGCGCTCGTTGCCTCTTTGGTGGATAATGCTACCATCGCTAATGTTGCGTTTTATATAAAATGTTACATTCTTTGGCAAATTGGGCGAATAGAAGTGAATTACTAAGGTCACTTTGACATAACAATACGGTTAAATTTTTCTATGTAATCGTACTTCATTCGTTAAATGACATCTCGCACGTTTCATTACGTTAAGCCGTATAGGTAGTACAAGTTTAATACCTTTATTTCACGACATCTTGGATTTTTATGTCATTGTGTTCTACTCGCTAAATACTATCCTGAGGTATGTCGCATGTCCCTGTACGTTAATACATTTAGACACACTTTTTTGGACTATACCCTGTATACTTACATTTTAAATTCTATTTTTACAAAGGATCTATCGATGTAATCTTGCTTTTCGACATGCATGTACAGCGACAGAGGTCACGCGCCATCAAATAAATTTAATAACAACGCCTTCACCAAAATTTACTGTGTTCCCAGCGGCTCGTCTACGAATAGCTTTATCATCCTCCTCTAAAAATAAATTCAGAATCACTCCGAAATCTTCATTTGAAGGACCCTTAAGTTAGCGGGGACAAATGAGCGGAATCCAATTTCTTCTTCTTCTTCTACTTTTTGTAGATCTTTCGATCTGTTTAATTCTGAAGCTGCCTCTGGTTAATTTCTTGGGAGGTAGATTGCCAACTATCCCTCCATCTTTTAGGTGGTCTTTATGTACAATATCTTGAATTTTGCACTGCTCTCTAATGTTTGTATTTCTCACTCTGTCTCTTCTTGTTTTCCCCATTATTGTTCTTAGGGTTTTCATTTCGGCAACCCTTAGCATCTGTTTCGTTTTGTTGGTATCTTCGCGCACTTCTATGCCATATATCATGATCGGTCGTATGCAAGTCGGAATCCAATTTAACCTACGTAATGTCGTTTTTGCCTATTTTTCACTAATTTATTACCACCCTAATAATTGTTCACCACCCTTAATCGGAGCGATTCTGCTGGGTTACGGTTAAAACTAGTAGAATTCCGAAAACAATATTTATGATATACCACAGTGCTCTGCTAGGTTTTAACGAATTTATTACCACCCTAGTAATTATTCACCCCTCAACTACTTCTTATGAGAAGTCAGTTCTGTTGGGTTAATATTTAAGGTGATAAAAAATCTATTTTTACAATTTTACTGTACTCTACTTGTAACTGAAAGTATCAATTGCTTGCCAGGTTTTTACTGAATTTTATCCACTCTCATAATTTTTGACCCCCTAAGCCACAATTGATGGGCAACATTCACAAGCTATGCATTCGCGTTAGGTAAATGCGAAATCTTTTTGGAAATACAAAAGTGCTCTGCTAGATTTTTACTATATTTTTACCTGCCTAGTCATTGTTTTCTCAACTACCCTACTTGAAAACATTCTGAAATGTTACTAATATTTATTTTTTAAATGTTTAAATATTGAAAATATGAAAATACTTTATTAAAAAAATTATAAATTTTAACTGTTTTAAAAAATTGACTCTGATTATAATAGTAAGTACATGGATATAAAAATTTTATGTCTTGTTGAAGTTTGCATAAACCAGGACTACTTTGAATTTAATAATAAAATATATACAAATAACAGTGCAGGACTTATAATGGGTAATCCTCTAAGCCCATTGCTATCAGATATTTTTATGGATCATCTAGAGACAAAGATTTCAAAACATCCCGTATTCAAACAGTTTTTATATTGGTGGAGATACGTAGACGACGTACTGGTATGTTTCACAGGAACTAACAGGCAACTCGACCAATTTTTATCGTATAATAATTCACTTTATAGTCATATTGAATTTACAATAGAAACAGAACAAAATCAATCCATAAATTTTTTAGATTTAAAAATTAGCAGGCTTCAAAACAAACACGACTTCTCCATATTTCATAAACCTACCCATACTGACACGACTATACACAATTCGTCATCCCATCCAACACAACATAAACTGGCAGCTTATCATAGTATGTTACATAGATTAACAGAAATTCCGATGTCAAAATACAACTTTGAGACAGAATTAAATATAATTAAGCATATAGCAGTAAACAACGGATACAACGAACAAACAATTAATAAAATGTTAAATCAAAAACTACACAAGAAAGCCCTGAAATTAGTATTTTCACCACCAGAGAAAAAACCCAGTACCTTCTGCTTGATTACATATATAGGCAAAATAACAACAAAAATTGTCAAACACATAAAAAAGAAAGGAATAACACCAGCTTTCCGAACAAATAACAACCTAGGCAAATATATTAAAAATAACAAGAGTCAAAATAAAAAACACTTAAATAGTGGTGTGTTCAAACTTCAATGTGGCGACTGCCCAAAAACTTACATCGATCAAACTGGTAGAAACTTTGATAAACGAATAGCAGAACATAAAAGGGCTTTCAAGAATAGAAAAACAGATTCGACATACGCACTTCACCTTCTAGATCATAATCATTCTTTTAATGACAAATTTAAAATTCTTCACATTCAAAATAAAGGCCTTAAGCTATCTTTGTTAGAAACTATTAAAATCAACAAATTAAAAAACACAGATATAATTCTGAATGACCAACTTGAGACAAACAGTTCTCCCCTCCTCAACCTATTAAATTAGAGACTATAAATTTGTAAACCCAAGCCAAAAATAGATCACTTGAGAAAGGCAATCAGCCGAAACAGCTGTATTGATAAGATTTAAAATAAATTTTGTGGAAGTTTGAAAACAAAGTTTTCAGTGTTTTATTGTTACATAAAATGAATTTCCATCAAGTAACGGTCGAATCCATCAATTATCTCATTTCTGTTTCAGTTATTTGTAGAGGAGAGTGCCTGAAAACAAAAACAAAGGTGGTAAACAAAACATTACTTAGGTGGTAATAAATTCGTAAAAACTTAGCAGAACATTGTGGTATATTATAAATATTTTTATAAATTCTGTTAGTTTTAACCGTAAGCCAACAGAATCGCTCCCCTTAAGGGTGGTTTGGTGGTGAAAAATGGGTAAAAGAATATTATATTGGCAAAAAATTTTTTCTGGATTCTGCTAGCTTAAACCTTAAGGCAGCAGAATTGCTCCCCTTAAGGTTGGTTTGGTGGTGAAAAATTATTAGGGTGGTAATAAATTAGTGAAAAATGGGTAAAAAAATATTACGTTGGTTAAGTTGGATTCCGCTCATTTATCCCCGCTAGCTTAAGGGTCTTTTCATTTTAGACTTTTTTTTAAATCCACAGACTTGGGGTGCAATAGTTTTTACAATTTCTGCTCTTTAAACTGTACTGGAAACTTTGAATCTCAATATTTTAAATGACGTTTCTTAATTTTTTTAAACACATTAATATAAACTTTATACTCATAAATTTAATCCTTTTAGGGATCTGGACCATAATAATATTCAACATCTTCAAGCAAATTCAGTCAAGGTGAAAGCACAACAAGTGTAAGTTTTATGATCGTTTAAATGTTATTAATCTTAATCAATCTAATAATATATAAATGTATTGTGGAAAGAATACCATATATTTATCAAAAGAATCAGATTAGAAACCGTTGTCAACGGATATCGGTGTTTTTACTTAACATATTTTGACGGTGGCTATAGATTTTAAATCTAATTGTGTTGTATAAATCCCTAAAAAAGGTATACATAAACATAAATACATATATTAATTATACCGGGTAGTGAATCATCGAACTCACCATAGAAAACAATGTGTGTAGTTCTAAACTGTTTAATTCCTACATTGCTAATTAAAATTCGTTAAAAATTGCTTCTAAAAAACAAATCTTTTTAAAAAATACCTAAAATCATTTACGAATGGTTTTAAGCTAGTTATAAATAAAATAAGAACAGATAAAATCTTTTATTATACGATATACAGCAAAATATTCTTAGATTAGTAGCTTAGACGAAATAAAAAAAAATCTATTGTATTAGGATTGTAATTGGGACCTATTCCAAGTCAAAATTCAAGTAAAAAGAAATGATTTTTTCATCAAAGTATAATTATCAACTATTTTGGCCTAAATTGGATGATACCGATACCAACGACATGTAGTTTTAACACGACATACACATGCGACACACCTCATGCCACATTGGACATTCTGCACGAGCGATTTGGGCACATGGTATCTTAAACTCCATTTTGTTGGGTTTTCTTAAGCGGCCAGCGGCCCTCAAAACAAACATAACCCATGCCATCGATATATAAGTTGCAAAAGTTCTTCAATGTAACTTACCAAAGAAGCATTGATTCCATGCCCTTCGAAGTACTGTTTGGGACGGAGATGAAGAATAAACTTACTTACTTTACTTTATCGTGTCCGGACATGTCATTCATAAAATTTCGGCCCAGTATCGGGCTACGTCGGTTCCATCTTTGTTGGCGAGCCACAAATCTTCAAGGGTACATCGATGAGGACAGTTTCTGCATGTAAGAAGATGTCCCATATTCTGTGTTTCTCCACAGTCACAGTTCACATCATCTTGGTCTATTTTTCCCCATTTTGACATGTTTGATTTTACTGTAGCAACCATCGTTCTTATCCTATTCAAGGTTTTCCACGTTTTAAAGTCTAGGGTTTGGCCGGTCCATTGAACCCGGGGGAAGTGGAAAATACTCAGGCGGTTCATCCTGCGCTGTTCCAAGGAAGCTTTTCCTAGATTTTAGTCGCTTTCGTGATGTTCGAGCTTTGTATAGGGCATGCCGATCGTCCGCGATATGTTTAATTTTCTCTATGTGTTCTGCAGCGCCTCTGCGTGTTGAGGGTTCTGCAAAACCCGCTGCTCTATATAGATTTGAAAGTGGTGTTGGTTTCATGCACCCCGTTACTATCCTGCATGTCTCATTTAGAGCAGTATCAACTTGTTTGGTGTGGGCAGATCTGCTTCAAACGGGGCACGCATATTCAGCAGTTGAGAAACACAGTGCCTGTGCCGTTGTTCTTAAAACGCCAGGACGTGCGCCCCATTTACTTCCCGTTAGCTTTCTGAGTATGCTGTTCCTAGTTGTTACTTTCAATGTTCAAGTTGAGTTCAATTATACAATGTTGTTTTGTAGGTGAGGGACCGGTCCAGAGTTACTCCAAGATATATAGGTTGGTTTGTGTGTTCTAATGCATTACCATTCCACACAATTTGGAGTTTTCGCTTGGCTTCCTTTGTGCGAAGGTGGAAAGCGCAGACTTGGGTTATAGAGGTGAAGAATAAAGAACACCTAAGGATGATGACAATAATATAACAGGGGATAACTAAATAGTTTGATGAAGATAGAGACATGCTAAGAAACGAGAGTAGACGGTAGATATGATTTACGAAGAAAAAAGACGAGAATGAATAAAAAGGGGATTTAGTGGCAATCAACAGAACACAGTTTGGTGGAGGACTAAAGCTGAGAAAGAATTTAGGACCATATGTGATAGTAGAAGTTAACCGGAAGAATTATTTAGGACCATATCTCATCTTCTTTTCTTCTTACGGTGCCTATCCGTTCCGGATGTTGGCGATCAACATGGCTATCCTAACTTTGCTCGCTGCTATTCGGAATAGTCTGGTTATCGATGTATTAAATTACTTTCTCAGGATTTGAAGCCAAGATATTCTTCTTCTCCCTGGTCCTCTCTTTCCAAATACCTTGCCCTGAAGAATGAGTTGCAACAAACCGTATCTCTGTTCATTCCTCATAACATGGCCAAGATATTCTAGTTTGCGCTCTTTGATGGTGTTAATAATCTCGCATTCCTTGCCTATTCTACGTAGGACCTCAATATTAGTCACACGATCCACCCATGAAGCGGGTCCATATCTCATAGTAGAAGTTAATTGGAAGGACAGGTAAAAATATCAGGTTATCATCAAAGAATAAAACGCATATAGAAAAACAGTTCAAATGGGCGATTTGGTTACGGTTATTATACTTTAAAACAATCCTTAAGAGGGCGACTGCATAAACTCAAACCCTGGCCGTCGGCTTAAAAACATCATGAAAGATATACTTAGGGGGAAGTGGGAAAGGAGTACGAACTATGTATTTAACTTACGCATTCACGCTTAATCAAATTTCGACGCCACTGTTATGCAAACTGTCTTTTTTTTTTTTGTTTTATATACACTAAAATCTTTATTTTTTATGTATTAAATTGATCAAGTTTTAATTTTAAAATTTAAAAAGGCATGAAATATTTACAATATTCAAAATAATAATTTTTTTATTACATGTAAATAAAATTTTATAAGGGCAGCGGCATATGCCGCTCTGATGAGACCTAAAAAGGTCGAAATACATATAAGCGGCTTGCCGCTGCCCTCTATCGAAACAAAAATCTAATACCGTCATTATGTTTTAAAATTTTATAACTTTGAATTAAAAATAGGTTTGTTCCAACATTACGAAAAACCATCACATAACTTTTTATTATACTGTTTTCCTGCCCAAAAATTTACGAAACATTTTAAAATATTTTCAAAAGGTATTCAACCAAAAATTTCATTTTCTCAGGACTTTTCATTAAATATTTTAAACTATTTTTGAAATTATTTCATTGAACAATTGTGCTGTTTAAGCTATGATATATATTCCAGTTGCTGTCACGTATCTAGTGGTATCAGTTTTGTTTGAGACTCAGGTAAGCACACCCTGAAAATATTTTAGTCTCTTCACAATTTAGAGTGTATTCACCTGACTTATTTTGGAGCGAGGGAATACTTATCTGAAGGTCTTTTGAAAGAACTTTATGTAGCCTTGACATTTCTTTAGTCTGTTCTATGTGCTAGCAATGCAATCCATAATTCTCTATTTGTCCTTCTAAGTTATTTTATACTCAGTCCATGCTTTGCAATAATCGACCCACTCACCAGATCTTTTGGAGCAATTAAACTTTCGTCTGACTTCTGTCCTTTGCTTTGCAAGATTGCCATTCCAGCAGGGTCCTTTCCCGTTAAAATTCCTCACTATCTACGAACAGTTAACTTTAAGCGCTGGCATGACAATGAAATTGTACGGCGGCCATGTCTACGTTCAATGCATGCCTTATCGTCCCTTTAATCTTACGTAAACAATATTACAGGTCTGCTTAATATGCTTTCCAATTTGTTTTACGAGGGCTACAATAAGTTTCCTTGATATGCTCATTGCCTGTCTCGATAGTCTGAGCAAGACATCTCATCTAAGGCGTGCCAATTTTTAACAGTTTGGTGTTTGTACTGCCCCAGGTCAGATGATAGGCATTCGTATTATAGCCAATGATTAATTGCAGTTCATTTTTCATACCATCTTTCACTAACTGTTCCAACTCCATTGATGGTTGTTCGTGATCATTATATGAGAGGTATGCTGATCTCAGAACTATTTTCTTCATAACTTCTCCCTCTATGATCTTTATGTTTACTGTCGTTCAGTCTGTGCAACAGAGATAACAACCAGTCTTCTGTGTTAAGGTCTTGATTTTGCTTCTTTAGACAAATCCTGATGGTTTCTTCATCAAGCTCTTTCTCGGAGACGCGAGTGAGGACCATGGGGTGCTTAGGCATATTATTTGGATCAATTATATTTAAGTTTGCTCTCTCCCACAGGTTCTCAATAGTCTTAACCACTTCAGTATTCCATTTTTTTGTATACTCGTTAACACAGTTCACACAAAGGGTCCCTTTGCTAAACGACGTTTTATGCAACTGCAGAAGTTCATTTTGACCTCCACTAGGAGCCTCATCAAGTGCTTGCTACAGTTTGTTAATGATCAAATTTGCTTGAGCCCGATCTAGTTGAGTATCAGGATAGTGTCTGTGTGCTACCACCATTCTGAATACTTTTGTCACGGTACTTTATGACCTAGTCTCCTCGTTAGAGCTCCTTGGTTTCTTAGCAACTCTGTTACGAGGGGGGTGATGGTATTCTCCCGAAGTCTCTTTTTATCCTCGGGTGTTGCTGATTTGGTTTTCTTGAAATTTGCTACGGTCCATGTCCCAGCAGCCTTTTTTGGCTTTTTTCTCATCTTCCTTTGTTGTACTTCATAATTTCGAATTTTCAAATTGTAAAAAATAATTCTTTTGTGTATGTGCTAAAAAGCAATTTTAGCATACTAACAAGATCAGGGATCGTTTTTTGATCCAAACACCATACAATTTCTTGAGCTTGTTCTCTTGGTAATTGACTTTTAATTAATTTTATTTGCAGTCTATAAGAAGAGAGTTTTAATTATATTATTTCTAGATTTGTACATATTTAAATTTAAAATTTGAATCATTATATATTTTTTTAAAAGATTCATTTAATAAAAGTTAAAATAATATTTTATTCTTCTTCTATATTCTTTGATATCATGATTGTCTCAGAGAACTACGAACACAGTGTGTTCGTAGTTCTCTGATGGTCCTAAGAGCACATCAACGCGTGCAGAGTATATGAAGCCATAAATAGAGCAACAGTCAGAATTGTAGTCTGATTCTCGTAGCAAAATAGCCACATGTAGGAAGTCAACTAATGGAAAATTTATTACTACTTTACTTTGTTTTAGGACAATTAATTTTAATCCATTAGAAGCAGTAGACGATTATGCTTTTAATGGCTCTCAAATAGCAGAACTGTAAGTACCAATATTGAAACATTTTTTTTTGTTTTACAAAAACTTCTTCTTCTACTCAATAGTGTGTCTGTGTGTCATAAATCAGTTACAAGTGTACGTCATCAGTTGAACCGCGAATATATACTAAATTTTCTTTTTTATTCTCATTTGGTGTTAATCTCAACTTCACCACGTGATCTCCTCTAGATATCATCCAGGAATGAAATTATTTCTCACGCATGGATTGTTTTTTTTTTGTCGGTAAAAATTCCCTCAGCCAACTATATTTTGATATCACACCTACCTTGATTGAAAACTCAGTAATTCTTTTTAAAATTTCTATAGGCGGAATAAATAAGTAATGAATTAAAAGGAGAGATGGTAAATAACCATCTTGGTAAAGGCAAATTGATAAATTTAAACAACAGTTATTGTGGAACGCACTTCTTAAAGCGTTTTACCCAATGCAATTAAAAAAAACATTTAAATTTTGTTTATTCTAATTCGAAGAGACACTAAAGTGTTTTTCTTCGAAGATTTGTTTGAGATTATGAGACTTTTGTTCGAATATATAAATGTAAGACGCCGAATTAAAACCTTATACAGAATAAAAGAAAAATGCTGCAGTATTACTTAGATGAGAACAATTGGAGATAAATTGTCCACAATCATACACAATATATATGCAACATACAACACACAAACACAACACCGAATCCGATTTTTCTTTTTCTTTTTATTTTTTCTTTAAGTTTTGGAAACCAGCACTGTCGGAAATGTTTACCTCTTACGTCTATTTCCAGATTCCCAGACTAGTGATGATAAAAAAGTACCGCATCCGGGTCTTCCCTGTGATATTCAGACACTCTACCGTTTGCAAGCTATCCGACGTTAAAAAAGACTTTTATAATTGTTTTTTCAGTCAATGGTTGAAATAAATAAAACATAATTTTACACTGTTCACGAATATTCATTCCATTATTGTATTTTGTTTTTGTTTGTTGGTGTCCACATTATTTGCAAGATCAAACATATCTGTATATTAATAATTAAAATAAATAATCTTGTTATTATTTTTTAGGCAAATGCACTCTAACTTTCAACTAAGAACATTAGGTACCAAAGCCTTTAGTGGTCTTGCTAGTCTACAGCTATTGTAAGTATATAAAAGATTTCTAAATATTGTAAAAATTAATTCATCAAATATGTTTAAAACCTTGTGCCGCATTCTGTTACTTCTATTGGTATTGACTCTTCTGTATATATTTTGTATCATCTATTTGTATATAAAACTAAATTTTATTCGTCCAGAACCAGACGACATGTTTTACACTTATACAGAGTGGCCCAAAAGTCTGGAAACGGCTAATTATCTCGTAAAATGCTAATCATAATTGTACAAAATTTGAGGTATACCTATTTTGGGATACGGAGATTCCATATTTGATATTTACAATGTTGCCAGATTTGCCGTTTTTCTTATATTATTAGTAACTTTGGTTTTTCAAATACATCTCCCTGTATATTCAGTCATTATTGGAATCTCCTATTCAATACGAGTTCAACAATATGTAACACTTATGATTTTATGTAATCTGGAAGGTCATAAATACATCAAACCGAAGTCTGGCAACGCCTAAATTGTTTCAATAAATTTTTTAATGCCAACTATTTTCAAATACATTAAAACGTAACAATTGATAGTTTAGAACATTTTTTAACATAGTAGTTACGTTATTAAGTGTTCAAAATGTGCTCAATTTGTGAGTTGACAGCACCCTAATCGATGGTAGAAAGCGTCTACCACATTTCTCCATGATTGTCTAGAAATTATTCGAGATTCATTGATAATTTGTTACCTTAGCTCTGCAAGACTTGCTGGTTAAGTTTTGTAAACTGAATTTTTCAAGTATCCCTAATAAAAATAATCTTTAGGATTAAAATCGGGTGAACGTGGAGGCCATCAATTCTACCTTGTCTACCAATTTATCGTCCAGGAAATATCTCATCTAAATATCGCCGAACACTTACACCAACTATCTGACGTTAAATTTCTTTCGACAAAAAATTACCCAATTGGATAAGTAACTACTATATCTGACCATACATTTAATTTTTGTTGTCTTTGAGTATGGTTTTCACGCATTCAGTCTTCAGTGTAAGCGTAAGTAAAATAAGAATTGCCATGTTGATATCCAACCTTCGTTAGAAGATGGAACCTTAAGAAGAAGTCTTCAGTGTGAATTTACGTCACACCAGTACCTTAAATTGTGTCGATTTACACTTCCACACAGTGTTAAAGTTGCTTCATCGGAAAAACATATTCTGTTAACGAAATTTTAATAATTTTCAATTTTATCCATCATTACCTCAGTAAACTCTAATCTACGACCAAAGTCATCTTCACTTAATTCTTGCAATAAGTTAATTTTGTATGATTTAAATTTATTTTTACGTAATAAACGTAAGACTGAAGAATGACCTACATCATGTACTTGTGCAACCCTGCCTGGGGATGTATGTGGATCTTCAACAAAACTTTGCTTATATCTGTTTTGTTGTCATTGATAACTCGTTTCGGTCAACCTGATCGGTATCTATCTTTTACTTCTCCAGATTCCTCAAATCGCCTTACAGTTTTTTGTACCGTTGTCTTATGAATAGGAGAACGGTTTAGAGAACGGCATTTTAGAGAAGCAATTTAAATTGTAGAACTTTTTGAACTACAACTACTGTCCATTTTAGTTCATAATTTAAATGGTGAACAAATGTCAAAATCACAGCATTCTCCATTTAAATATTTAAATTTATTAAAATCTACATATTTTGCACTATTTTATGTATTTAAGATCTTTCAGACTACATAAAATCAAGTGAACATATGGTTAAACTCGTATTGAATAGCTGAACTCGTGTGAAATTCACACTGAATGCGTGAAAACCATACTCAAAGACCACAAAAATTAAATGTATGGTCAGTTATAGTAGGTACTTATTTAATTGGGCCATTTTTTATGGAGAGAAATTTAACGTCAGATAGTTGGTGTAAATGTTCGGCGTAATTTAGATGAGATATTTCTCGGACGATAAATTGGTAGACAAGGTAGAATTGAATGGCCACTACGTTCACCCGATCTCAATCCTAAAGATTATTTTTATTAGAGATACTTGAAAAATTCATTTTACAAAACTTAACCAGCAAGTCTTGCATAGCTAAGGCAATGAATTATCGATGAATCTCGAATAATTTCTAGACAATCATGGAGAAATGTGGTAGAAACATTCTACCATCGATTAGAGTGCTGTCAACTCACAAATGGAGCACATTTTGAACACTTAATAACGTAACTATTATGTTAAAAAATATTCTAAACTATCAATTGTTACGTTTTAATGTATTTGAAAATAGTTAGTATTAAAAAATGTATTGAAACAATTTAGGCGTTGCCAGACTTCTGTTTTATGTATTTAAGACCTTCCAGACTACATAAAATCATAAGTGTTACATATATTTGAACACGTATTTAATAGGAGATTCCAATAATGACTGAATATACAGGGTGATGCATTTAAAAAACCAAAGTTACTAGTAATATAAGAGAAACTGAAAATCTGGCAACATTGAAAATACCAAATATGGAATCTCCGTATCCCAAAATAGGCGTATCTCAAACTTTGTATAATTACGTCTAGTAATTTACGAGATAATTAGCCGTTTCCAGACTTTTGGGCCACTCTGTATATTACTTGATATTTTTAATTCTATTTAAACGACCATGTTTTTTTTTGTGTGAAATTATTTTTTAATGATTCAAATGACAAAAATGTGTGAAAACAATCAAAATTTTAGAATCCACTCACTTTAGCTCGATGTAGCCACCTTTTGCCTTGACTACGACCTTCAAACGATTAAAAAACGAGTTGCATGCTTCACGAATGTGATCTTCCGGTATTTTGGCCCATTCACGTATAATCGCTTTCTTCAGTGCATCCATACTGGCATAATTTTTAGTCCTCACCTTGATTTCCAAAACGGACCAGATGGAATAGTAAATTGGATTTGCGTCTGGCGAATTCGAAAGCCATTGTGTGGATGAAATGAAATGTGAAACATGGTTTTTTAGAGAGTGTATGAACTGCTCAATAGGGAAATTTTTCTCATCAGAGAACACTTTGTTCGGAAATTCGCCACGTTTGCGCAGGCGTAACAACTCCTTTGCTCTTTCAAGCAGAACTTTTTTTGCTTTGGTGCAAGATTGTGTGCTTTTTGGAACTTGTAAGACTGGACCTGGAGCTCCTTTTTCAATATTCGTTGCATGCTTCGCTATGATATTTTCAGTTCTTTGGCCATTTGATTATCACTACGACGTGGATTTCGCTCAAGTCAAGCCTTCACTTTCCGAACCATTTTAGGTGATGTTGCTGTTTTTTTTTTCTTCCACCTCCATAGCGTTTAGCAATGCTACCTGTATCATTATAACGAGTTATGCTGCGTTACACAAACATTTTATTCACTTTGAGGTGTTTGAGCTGACGAACAATGGCTGGTTGTGATTTTCCAGCCAAATATAAGGCAATTACATTATTACGTTTGTAACGAAGATATTTTGCCTACCACAGGGGGCATTAATACAGGGGATAGAAAATTGGTGGAAGAAACTATTGGGGGGGTGGAGATAAGGCAAGCAAAATGAACGCTATTTGTGCGAACGGCACTCAGGGTTTCGTAGAAGAGCTGGGGTCGTGGGAATGGGGGAACTACAAAAAAATGAAATAAAGGGGTCATTAATCTCTTAAGATAAACAAAATAAAAATAAGCAAGAAACACCTCAAGGAATTTAATATAGGGCGCCACTTGAGGTGCCTAATTATGCCTATTACAACCACTAGTTGTAACTAGGGAGATAATTAGAAAAAAAATTTAAAACATAAAAAACATATCTTTTTCAAATAAAACTCAAAAAAGGTTTAGCTCAAAAAAATAAACAAAAAGTTAAGACAACAAAATTTAACCTTTATTTATGTGTCACCACAAACAGTTACATGGAGAAAAAACAAAACACAAAAACTTAGATGTGTCATCCGCTTACAAACTCTGTTGCTACAAAACTTACAAAATTGCATGGAGGTTAACCTTTTTTTTTTAAACAAAACAAAGTAAAATCAAAAAATAATAAAACGAGCTGTCATAAATTAACATTAAATTTCAAAAAAAAACTAAACACATAAATTGACAGCTCAACTCAAAACCAAAAATTTACAATTTTAAATGTAACGAAAGCAATTATTATTTCATAAAAAAAATTGTCTGTCTTTAGTTTAAAATTTGAACACAAAAAAAAACAGTTACCTTGATTTACATATTTCCACTTCACAAAAAGAACTTGTTATATATCTGTAGCATCCATCCTAAGATCAGCAGCAAACACATCCATTTGGGGCCGAAACAGGAACAGGACATCCATTGGGGGCCGGAATACACCAGCGAAAACGGGAACTCTCAAAAAAAAACATGAACCCTCCAACAGGAACCAGACTTTTCAAAAATCTCGAAATATCGAGCGAAAACTTCACTACTCCCGGAAAATTAATGCCGGTCACTTCATACTGGACAAAATCCATCACTACTGCTACTCATTTCCTCCACAATCAACGAAAAAACAGAAAATTTTACAAACTCGACATGAATTTGGACATAACGCTGAACCGCTCTTGCTCGCGGTTCCAACGAGAGTGAAGAAATTAAAAATTTGTTCGCTTAACTTGAAAATAAACAAACAGCTGAAATAGCAAAACCAACAAAACGGCGTACATATCCTTTTGCGACGCATAAACATGAAAAGAGATTGCCGAAGTAAAATAAACAACTCTCAAATGGTTTTATTACTCGGCGACGAAACACTTTTGGGTACTTTGAAAGATATGAACTAACAAACACGGAAAACTTCTTCGTTTCATTTTTTAAAAATATATAAGGAGTTTTTAATATATTTTATTATACGAGGAGGTTTCAATATACTCAAAAGAATCAATGAAATTGAAAATGTTACACGTTTAAATTCCATTGCGAATAACTTTTGTTGTATGTATAAAACTTAAATTCAAATGCTTTTGACAACTTATAAACATACTGAAGTGTTATCAGGCCAACTTTGACGTAGCTGCCATTATCTATTTGCCTGATATATCAATGTGAAGTTGGTAACAGTTTAATTGCGTAACCCTGTATTATACAAAAATTTTCTTGTTTTCTTTCATTTTTATAAGCTGCTTTAAAAACAACATCTAATTCGTCTATATTTTTTAGAGACTTATCCCACACTTCGATTACAAGACTGCCCAGTGAAGGATTGCAAGAATTGGAAACTTTAAAAATAGAAGCGACGCATACGATGCAAACTATTCCTAGTATTTACGATTTGGGGGTCAGTAGGTATCGAATTTCTTTAACTACACTTGAACCTTACAATTTTGATTTAATTACTGGTTAAAAATTTACGAAAATTTTGTAGTCTAAACGTACTTTAAAAAAACTCTTACTAATTATGTGACGTATTTGCTTATAATTATCGAATTAGTTCATCAACAAAAAAAAATCTATCGATGCAAAGTGACTACACTTTGTACCGTCCTATATTTGGAAAAAATTTTTGAGTAACGAAAAAATCTCTCTTTTCTTCGAAAAATTCTCTTTTTTTCTCCAGCATGTATTTTTCAGAATATTTTCAAGTCGAAAATACTGTATAGCGAAATTTAACGACAATTGTAAATTTTGAATCAACTTTATGTAAGGTCTCGGCCTAAAGGTCGAAAGCTACTTTCAAAATACATAAAAATCAAACGCGGATCCATCAACCAGATTCACAAAAATCACAAGACAATGCTATTCTTATTGTACAAAAAGGGTGTACATATGTGGGAAATTATTAGTATAATTTCATTGTATGTGGACTGTATTATATAGGGCTGGTTCAAATAAATTAGGACATGTAATAAAAGGTATACAGACAATAGCAAATTAAGTTTATATAAAGTCTTACCAATATTTCTGCTCCACACTCTCGCGGTTTTTCTGCTCCGCACTTTCGCGGTTTTTGCTTTTCTGCGGAATACGTCCGGGCACACTCGCGGTTTTTCTAAACACGTGTTTCGCGGTAATAAACTTTGCGAGATAGAGCACACTTTGTCTGAACACGATTTAAAATAGTGTTTGCAGTATTTTTCGCGCAACTAAAACTGGAGAGAGATAATTAGCGATAGAAAAACAGCCAAGATATATGCTGTTTTTCTTGATAAGCGAAGAGAGAGAGAATGGTCTGTCCTTAGCGACAGGCGACTATCAAGAGAGTGTCTTTCTTCTTTGCTATCTTGAAACTATCTGTATTTGTAATGGGGGGGGGGGTGAAAGTGTAAGTAGGAAGAGTTATTAAGGCTTGGATTAAGATAATGATGGTAAAATTGTGATATAAGGATAGTTAAAAATACAGCGAAAAATGACATAATTTTTCGCATGTGAAAAAATTGAACACTTATGTTAACGGAACAAATTTAATCAACTACTCGATATTTATAAAACTAATATTCTTTTTTCTTAAACGAAATAACATTTTCAGAATTTAAAAACAGCCAAGCTGACACATTCCTTTCACTGCTGTGCATTCCAATACCCGGAACAACACAATCCCAGTAAACATGCTCAATTTGCCGAAAACCTGAAGAAAATATGTGAATTGGCAAAGTCTGGTGGCAACATATTACGTAGAAGGAGAAGATCAAGCAACAATGAATGGCCCTTTACACCTCAGTAAGTGAAGAGGTAAAAAGTTCGAAAAAATTAAATGAAACTATGACTAAGAGGTTATACATTTGTTAAATACAGTATTTTGTATTTTGTATATAATAATTGATCAACTTTACAGTTGATATTCATTATATTTATTTATTCGGATTAGCAGCTTCCTTCTAAAACTAGGTTTTTTTTCATTTGCAGAAAGAGACCTGTGAATTATTTATTTACAAATTTAAGACGTGTGTGATAATGAAATGCAGATGCTAAGATTATTAAAAAAATAGAAAACTATTTCGGGTACTCCAAACGAAGTAAAAAAAATAAAATATAAAGACGGTACTAGATGTTTGTTTCAATAAAGAGCGACGGCAGTCACATATACGTATTTCGACCTCTTTAAATCTCGTCAGAGCGGTATAGCCACCTCTCTGGATCGAAACAAAATCTATTCCCGTCTTAGACAATAGTTATAAAATAACTATATATGGACGTAACTACGCCATGTACAGTAAAACCTCTGTTAACCGAAATAATTGGGGAGGAGGCCGTTTCGGATAACAAGAATTTCGGTTAAAAATTACATTGTTTTTTATATTGTTCTTGTATCAAATACTTGTATAAAACATAATAGTCTTGGTCAAAGTTGGTATTAAAAATACTATGAGGTGATTTTGTAATGTTTGCTAATATGTAAATAAAATACAGAATAAAGTAATAAATAAGAAAAACTAACATGTTCTTGCTTTTTTTAAGAAATCGTCTATTTTCGTTTGTGTTTTTCTTTGAATACGATGTTTTGCAGCTATATCTCTCCATCGTTTCATTTGCAGAACGTCATGCGGTTTTGCCTCATTAGATTGTTCGACGAAACGTAGAGCAATCTAAAAAGGAGAAAACGTTATACCATGAGAACAAAAATTAAGAACCTAGCTGTGTCCCTAACTAATTAGACCTACTGTATAAAATTCTTACCTCCAAGGCATTGAAAATCTCATCGGCGTTGTGCTGCCTGTCCTCTGCTGGGTCGTCATCTTCGTCTTCTGATAAGCTCAGGTTGTCTGGATGAAGAACCATATCAATAATGTCTTCATCGATGAATTCACTTTCTTAGTCATCGGTTGCTAACCACTCACGTATCTCTTCTTGGTTAATTTCGTCACATCCTGGCAAACTTCTTATCAAAGGTTCAATTTCTTTAATCTTTTTTTCCACATTTTCTTCTTCAAGATCGTCAATCAAAATCCCATCAAAAAGTTTGTTCCAGCATTTTTCCAATGTTGAAGATTTGATCTTGGCCCACGACTCAGCACACCAATAAACAACATGTTTCATTGTTAAGGATTTAAGAATTTCAGGAACGCTTTTGGATTCATTCGTCTCCTGTAAGAATGCTCCTCTATAATGTCTTTTGAATGTCTCTATTACTCCCTGGACTAACGGCTGAATTAAGCTTGTGACATTCGGCGGCAAAAATCTGACAATAATGTCACCATTTTGTAGATTTTGAGGGTGAGTTGGCGCATTGTCAACAAGCAACAATGATTTGATGGGAAGATTTTTTGATTTTAGAAAGGATTTCACACTTGGGACGAATTCATTTTCGAACCATTCTGAAAACAAAGTGGTCGACATCCATGAGCTTTTTTGGCTTCTATAAAAAACTGGAAGTGCTTTTTCTGAAACATCTTTTAGAGCTCTTGGTTTTTTTTGATTTTCCAACATACATAGGCCTCAATCGGTGAGTTCGTGCTGCATTGCTACAAAACAGAACTGTTATTCGTTGTTTATTCATTGTTAGGCCCGGTGCACTGTGTTCCAGTTTTGATGCAAATGATTTTTTGGGCAGCATTTTGAAATTTAATCCAGTCTCATCTGCGTTGTAAATTTGATCTTTAGTGTAGTTTGTCAATAACTCATCCATTTCAGTTTTAAAAATATTCACAGCATCGTGGTCAGCAGATAGCTTTTCTTCACATAAATTAACTTGACGAATAGCGTACCTATTTTTCCATTTGTCTAGCCAACCTAAACTTGCTTTAAAACCTTCACCTTCATCGCCCATCATTTCGGATAACATTTTTGCCTTCTCTTGAATTATTGGTAAAGATAATGCTACTCCTTTGGTTCTTTGTTGTGTGAACCACAAATAGACAGCTTCATTGACCTTCTCATTTTGACTTAGTTTCATAGTTTTTTTGTTTGGCATTTTCGAAGCATGTTCCTCAAATTTGCTTTTCATTTTGACCCAGTCGGAAACTGTAGAAACGCCAACGCCAAAATCTCTTGCGACTGTCCGTAAAATCTCTCCATTTTGAATCCTTCGTAGAGCCTCTAATTTCTGTTCAATCGCAATCACAAGACGTTTCCTTTTATTTGACATTTTTATACAAGACACACAACAGTCGATTTATTGAAATTAAAGTAAGTAGCACACAAACAAGTATTATACTGAATCAATGAACAGAAGAAGGAATGAGATACGGCCGCCTGCAATCTAAATGTGTCATAAAAGTGAGACAGTGAGAAATTGATACCGATAAGTGGGTAATTGATACCGATACAACACATAAGTAGTAACTACAGTAATTTGCATGCTTTAGTTGAAAGCAATGCTGACGAGGTTTTTTCGTTTTGCGATAAAAATTTATGTTGTATTGACGAAATTATTGAAACTGTCAGCCGTTTCGGTTAAACGATGTTTCGGTTAAAAAGGTTTCGGTTAACGGAGGTTTTACTGTAGTAACAAAAAGAGAAATCAAACGATTTCTACCTGGCGAAATCAAATTCAAATTTTGACCACCGTGCTTTCTAAAACTTGCAAAGCAAACAGCTTGATAAATAAATGACCGCTCTGACGAGATCTAAAGCGGTCGAAATACGTATAAGCGGCTGCCGCCGCTCTATATTGAAACAAAAATCTAGTATCGTCTTTATATTTTATTTCTTTACTCCGTTTTTACTGGAGTACCAGAAATTTAATTCACTACGAATTTTGACCATGATAAACGACATGTGGAATGCAATCTTAGATTCCCTTGTCGAGTTATTTATCAAGCTGTTTGCTCTGCAAGTTTTAGAAAGCACGGTGGTCAAAATTTGAATTCGATATCGCCAGGTAGAAATCGTTTGATTTCTAACTTATTAAACTGTTTACTCGGGCTGTTGGGCCGTTGTCTTCTGTTGAGATTAGTTCTCGACGTTTCGCCAACACTAGGGGTTGGCATCTTCTGGAGATGTTGATGCTTCGCTTGTAAGCAGAAACTGACGACGCGTTGTACTACGGAGGCAATATTTATAATTCCCACTCGCCTCCCCTCCACTGGTTTCGGCTTGAGGGGGCGTGTCGTTGTTTATAGTAGCTTTTCTATCTCCGTGTTTGGCGGGAAGGGCGTTTGTGGATTTTAATACTGGTATCCATGTTTTGTTGATTTTTAGTCCTTCTTCTATCCTATTGAAATTGTTTGGGTGCTTGTATATTTCCACCGCTTCCCGATATAACCGTGGGTAGTACTGTGAAGTTTTGTCCAGCATCTGTGTTTCTTCAAATAGTATTCGATGTTCTCCGCTTCCCAAAGCGTGTTCGGCAACGGCAGATTTGTCGATATGTCCTAAACGACAATGGCTTTTATGTTTATTTATCCTGGTGTTGGTGTGTCTTTTTGTGGTTCCCACATATACCATTCCACATGTGCATGGTATTCGGTATACTCCGGCCGTTGCTAATGGGTCGCGTTTGTCTTTTACCGATCTTAAACAATCCTTGATCTTCTTTGTAGGTCTGAAGATGGTCTTTATGTTGGCTTTCTTGAGTATTCGCCCAATTCTGTCCGTTACCCCCGATATATAGGGCAAGAACGCTTTCCCTTTACATTCTGTTTCTTCGTCCCTTCTTCTAGATACGTTGTTCATCGCCTTGTGTATTTCTCTTCTGGTGTACCCATTAGAGGTGAGCGCTTTTTCAATATAAAGAAGTTCACTTTGGAGATGTTGTGGTTCACAAATTCTCTTCGCCCTCTCTGCCAAAGTTTTGATGATACCTTGTTTTTGGCTAGGATGATGATTTGAGTTCCTGTTTAGGTATCTGTCTGTGTGTGTAGGTTTTCGATACACTTTATGTCCTAAGTGACCTTCCTTTCGATTTACTAATACATCCAGGAACGCTAGTTGTTGAGCTTTTTCTGTTTCCATCGTAAATTGAATATTTGGATGTAGTGTATTTATATAAGCCAGGAAATCGTTTAGTTTTTCTGCTCCCTGACCCCAAATCACAAAGGTGTCATCAACGTATCTGAACCATACCCTAGGCTTGTATGCTGAGTCCATTATCTTCTTCTCTAAATGCTCCATGAAAAGGTTGGCTACGACCGGGCTTAGTGGGCTTCCCATTGCTACTCCATCCATCTGTTCATAAATTTGGTCTTCCCATGAAAAGTATGTGGTAGTTAGGCAAATACGGTATAATTCCACCATATCCTTGAAAACTAGTCCCTCAATTAAATTCAGAACGTCTTCTAGGGGGACTCTTGTAAATAGGGAAACCACATCAAAACTAACAAGAATGTCAGATTCCTGCAAAGTTATTCTTTTGATCTTCTCAATAAAATGGGCGGAGTCTTTTACAAAGGCATCGTTTTTTCCTATATGTGGTTGTAAAATATCGGCCAGATGTTTTGCAAGGCTGTAAGACGGAGATCCTATGGAGCTCACAATAGGGCGGAGAGGTACATCGTCTTTGTGTATTTTCGGCAAGCCATACAAGCGTGGTGGGACTGCTTCGCTGTTGCATATTCTTGGCTTTATCTCCTCTGGTATGGACGAAGATTTAATAAGTCTGTTGATTTTCCGTAGGGTGACTGCTGTGGGATCTTTTTTAAGTTTCTTATAAACCGCAGGATCTAGAAGATTTTGTATTTTCGTTTTGTAGTCGGCTGTCTTCATTATGATCGTGGGGTTTCCCTTGTCTGCTGGTAAAATTACAACATCTTTGTCTGCGTTTAACGATTTTATGGCACGTATTTCTTGGTGGCTCAAATTATTTTTCGGTGTCTTAGCTTTATGCAAAATTCTTGCTGATTCTGTCCTTATTTCTTCAGCTGCTTCGATTGGTAAGTTGCGGATCGCAGACTCTATATTAGCGATGATGTCTTCTTTGGGTATAACTTTAGGCACAATCGCAAAATTTCCCCCTTTGGCTAGCAATGATGTTTCAGCTGAAGTTAAAACTTTATCTGAAAGATTGACCACTGTTCTTTCTGTGTTTTGTTTTGATTCTACCTCCTTATGTTTGGTTAAGCGTTCGTATTTGTTTTTCTGGCGTTCAGTGTTCCTTTAATTTTATTTTTTTCATTTTTCAATTTTATTCCAATCTTCATATTTCAACCTGCTGCTCAAAACGTAAAACAAATCTAGAAGCTCCTTGTCAACCTTCGCCAAATTTCGTCTGGTGTCATGTATTCGTTCTCGTAATAGTGCTTTTTCCATGCGTGTATATATTCTATTGGCTTGACTTGTTCTGATGGATCGATTTGTTCGTAAGAAGTTCGGTAGTACCCCGTTGTCTCGACATCGTGATAGAAAAGCTAACGACGCAAGAAGTTGAGCTTTTTTCTTCCGTAGACAATCTAGTCTTCTGTAGTATGTAGTTACCTCCTCCCCGTAGAGGCGACTGATAAATTGCGTTAGGCTTTCACGGCCATCGTCTAACTTATTAAACTGTTTACTCGGGCTGTTGGTCTTTAGATGAGATCTAGAAAGATGGTCTTTATGTTGGCTTTCTTGTGCATCTTCAGACCTACAAAGAAGATCAAGGATTGTTTAAGATCGGTAAAAGACAAACGCGACCCATTAGCAACGGCCGGAGTATACCGAATACCATGCACATGTGGAATGGTATATGTGGGAACCACAAAAAGACACACCAACACCAGGATAAATGAACATAAAAGCCATTGTCGTTTAGGACATATCGACAAATCTGCCGTTGCCGAACACGCTTTGGGAAGCGGAGAACATCGAATACTATTTGAAGAAACACAGATGCTGGACAAAACTTCACAGTACTACCCACGGTTATATCGGGAAGCGGTGGAAATATACAAGCACCCAAACAATTTCAATAGGATAGAAGAAGGACTAAAAATCAACAAAACATGGATACCAGTATTAAAATCCACAAACGCCCTTCCCGCCAAACACGGAGATAGAAAAGCTACTATAAACAACGACACGCCCCCTCAAGCCGAAACCAGTGGAGGGGAGGCGAGTGGGAATTATAAATATTGCCTCCGTAGTACAACGCGTCGTCAGTTTCTGCTTACAAGCGAAGCATCAACATCTCCAGAAGATGCCAACCCCTAGTGTTGGCGAAACGTCGAGAACTAATCTCAACAGAAGACAACGGCCCAACAGCCCGAGTAAACAGTTTAATAAGTTAGACGATGGCCGTGAAAGCCTAACGCAATTTATCGTTTGATTTCTCTTTTTGTTATTAGGTGGCGTAGCTACGTCCGTATATAGTTATTTTATAACTATTGTCTAAGACGGGAATAGATTTTGTTTTGATCCAGAGAGGTGGCTATACCGCTCTGACGAGATCTAAAGAGGTCGAAATACGTATAAGCGGCTGCCGCCGCTCTGTATTGAAACAAAAATCTAGTACCGTATTTATATAATATGTTAAAAATTTGTAATGAAGTATTTAATAGACTGACTCATGTGGATATATTTAATGCAAAATGCTGTGAACTTAAAACATTGCTTGCTCATCAGCACTAGGTTTAAGAGGTTTATTATATTTTTTTCTTATTGTATTATTAATGTTCGTTTCTTTCATTTATTGACTTTTTTGTCTTAAACATTTTAAATGTAATTACTATTAGAATATAGTATTTGTAAGGTATCTAAATAAATAAATAAATTGGCAGTAAACCTAATAATTTCATTTCCTTAATTTTAATATTTATATTTTTCAGCGAATCGGAGAATATCTCCAGTTCAGATTATCTACTCCGATCACGGCTGTACGAAGCAATACACCCCTTAAAAGGCAAAGTTTTGGGTCAGGAGGAAGGGAAAATTATTAATACAATGAACGACGAATACGACGAAGAGGATGGATTCTTCCACTCGGATGTTACGAAAATTAATGATACCGTGACAAGCACTCATTGTGGAAACATTGTAATCAGGTATATATATTGTAATAATAAATTTGTTACCAGTATTGTATGTTTTATTTATATTTTGATTAAGACTTGGTTTTTGTTAAGGATACCTGAAGTGGAATGCCTACCGGAACCAGACGCTTTAAATCCATGCGAAGATATAATGGGAATGTCGTGGTTGCGAATATCAGTATGGTGCGTGGTCGTATTGGCATTGCTTGGAAACCTGGCAGTTATGATCGTTTTTCTATTCAGTCCGACTGAAATTAACGTGGCCCGATTCCTGATCTGTAATTTGGCATTTGCAGACTTTTGTATGGGTTTATATCTACTGCTGATAGCTGCGATGGATTTTCATTCCGTTGGACAGTATTTTAATTTTGCCTATAATTGGCAATATGGTAAGTAACTTCTATACAGGGTGCGGCATTAGTGCGAGGAAGTCCAATTGAATAGATTGTATCTTAAAGGGACTAAGTGATATTTTCAAGTTTTGAAAAAAACAGAAAAATGTTGTTATTTTTAACCTCTTAATATTTCAAACTTTTTATTCTTTTTTTCATTAGTATGGTTTGCAATATTGGAGCCGGTAATAATTAACATTGGAGTTGAAGATTCCTTAGATTCTGAAGAATGCAGTGAATCTGAAATGGAATTTGATTAAAATAATATTCATTTTTTCACAAATCGGCCACTGTTACGGCCACAAATTCTTTTATGTTTAACCAATAAAATAAACATCTTACATTTCTTGCAAATTCATTAGTACCTGTTAATCTCCATCACTCCGGCACTGGCAACTTTATTTAGGGATTAGTAACCCTCAAAACTATTGTATTCTATTCTGCTTCAACCTTTAGGGGAGAAGAGGGAGACTTGATCCCACCGTTACATTTTTTCAGATAGCTCCTTTTACAACCAATCTAGAACTTTTATAATTTAGTGGAACATTACAAATTTATCACAGTTTTGGGTATTGTACACCCGAAAAATATACTGCTAATAAAAAACGAGTTTTTGTAGAATTTCGTAACATGGAGAAACTAATCATGTCACCCGTACTCCGGGAAACTTGATCCTTGTGTATGGGAGACTTGATTATACCTTTCCAGATTTACGATATTAAAATAAAACCAAAAATTGGATGCTGAAAACTAACTTTACTCAGTCATGACTTATAACAAATAATTTTATTAAAAATATATAACACTTTCTGGCAAAAAACTATACTGAAAAATGATAAAAGAAAAAAAATTATTCTCGAATATTGAACATCCTTAGTGATTTGGGAAAGACAAAACATCCTATGCGCTTACTGTAGCTCCTAAAAGTCGGTCGTGGTAACTTTTTTAAAATTTGGTCACGTGGGACTTCACCCATGTCTTCTTTTTCTGGCCACTTAAAGGTTTTTTCATCCCTGTTTTGGGCAAATTTGATTTTAAAATCCTCGTTCTTTTTTTCCATTATCTGTCCTACGTATCGATGGACTAAGTTTCTTTCGGAGACAAAGCTGACAATTACCCAATCTTGCACACTCAACTCAAACTCGTCACCTTCTGCTTCCGATTCACATTCACTATCTGTCTCTACTTGCATTTCATCATTAGGATCATATTCAGACTCGGACGATGGTAGTATAATGTCACTGCCCCCCGAACTTTAAGATTCCCTCAAATCCTTAAGTTTTTGTTTAGTTATTCTTTTTAGGGCTCTTATTTTGGCCCTTTGCTCTTTTACTAATTTTTTCTCTTCTTTAGCCTTAACTTCAGCTTCAAGCGCAAGTTTTTCTGGTGTTGCTGTGAGAATTTTTGTAGTTGCTCGCTTTCTACCCTTTGCTGAAGTCCTGGGCCCGGCTTTAGGGTAGGGTCTAATCATTTCTGGGCTAGTAAACGTGGCAGAAGGGAAAGAATGGTTATTGTGCTCTTTTGATGTTTGTTGTAGCTGTTCATTTTGTGAAGTATCTCCATTTACAGAATGGGATCTAATTATTTGAGGTGTGGTGAAAGTACCAGTAGGAGTAGAAGGCTGATTTTCGTCCTCAATTAGTGTTCGTCGTAGTTGTTGATTATGTGAAATGGATCCACTTGAGGAATGTGGTCTAATAATTTCAGGGGTGGTGAAAGTGCCAGTATAAGTGGAGGGTTGATTATTGTTATCTATGGCTGGTTGTGCAACATCAAACTGGGATAAAGTGGATTTATTTGCCGGATCTTCGCGATCAGTAACATACGCCGACATAAAATCTTCATCGGTAAAAATATTGGAATTGAAAGGCCATATACCCGTAACTCTGAATCCACTCTCAATATTACGTGGAGTAAAAGCTAGGGGGAAAGCGTAAGCTAAGCATCCTCCGACTTCAATATATTGTAATTGTCCTTCCTGGGTGCGCCACCATCCAATCATCACAGGCAGTATTATAAAAACTCTTGAGAGGGCCAAATATACTCGTGTCTAACGCCTGGAGCTTATGCGACGTATGTGGTGGTATGGTAAAAAGAACTATTCCGTGTGCTTTGGCATATGTTATGGCTTCCAGACTAACGTGGCTATCGTGATTGTCCATTATGATTAAAGATTTATTGTCGGTAGTCGCCTTTACATGTTTTTGAAAATGTTCCAAAAATTTGACGAAATTAGAAGCGGTCATCCATCCACTTTCATAAACTACGCCGGTGGTCCCTGGTGGGCTATGATCAATCATGCGATCTTGCCAAAGCTTTCGAGGAAAAACCAAAATATAGGCGGTATATGATTTCCATTCCAATTGCGTTGATTGCACCACAAAGAGTTACTGTTGGTCCACGTTCCCCTGACGTAATTTTACCAACCTGTTTTGCACCTTTGCATGCAATAATCTTCTTTGGCTTATGGACAGTTGAAAGGCCAGTTTCGTCTATGCTCCAAATTGCTTCTGGTCCAATTCCATTGCTTTCAAGAACTGCCTTTAAATTTATGAAAAATTTTGATACATTGTTTCTGTTGAAGCTAGTTGCTCTAGTAAGACTGGTTGCTTCCGGAGATCGTAGTGATCGTAGGTATTTTTTTATTATTTCTTACGGCAAACTCGTATGCTAGTTATTTTGCTTGTTTGGTTGTAAGGCCATGGTGTAATTTGCTGGCAACATCTAAATAATCTTTAAACATATTTTCCTCTGCATTTGTAAAAATTTGAGCCTTCTTGTAATCAGGATAATAGGTTATTTCAACATTTTCAGATCGTTGTCGGCGAACGTATCTTTTTAATGTCATAACATTTATTTGATAACGACTTGCCGTTCCCTTGAGAGACGTTCCGTTATTAATAACGTCTAATACAGCTTCTTTTAACTTCTGGCTGTCGACTGGTGTTCTTTTCTTTGCTCCTTCCCTCCTTTTGTATTGACGTGGCATATCTATTAAATAAAAAACACTCATCTATAAGGAGTTTCTGGGAGACTTGATCCCGGGATCACATCTCCCAGATAAGATGTAATCAAGTCTCCCCCAAGACGCAATTTGAATATTTTTCTCTATAAAAATATGACGACAAACTAGAACTCATTGCAAAATGTGCAAAACGTAAACTGAATGATTATAGTGTTAAATAAAAATTATAAGAAAAACTCACCTTAACGAATATTAAAGAAAATCAACTTGAAATAATTCTGAAAACACTTCTCGGTAGGGACAAAAAACTTGTAATAAACACGTGCTCTTCGTTGTGGATTCTAATACAAAATAAATTAAATGGGATCTTCAGACATACTAACAGCTACGCTTTGTTGCCGGTTTTATAATTTTAGGCTACTTATTTACTGAAATTTTAAAGAGTGATCAAGTCTCCCATATGATCAAGTCTCCCTCTTCTACCCTATACCTGGTGGTCATACTCAATTTAAAATTGTTTTCCTATATACTTCTGTAAACTTGTTGACAAATATCTATTTTTCATTGTCACCCGTATCAACAGTTTAGAGATTTGCATACATATTGTGCTATCAATATGACGGAAATGGACTATATTAATATATTCCGATGCCCTCACATAACCTGGAGTTTCGAAGCTATATACATAATGGTTAAAGGTCGAAATTGCAAAATACGTTTCTTGAGATCGAGGAACATTTATTTGTTGAGGTTCAGTAGACAGACTTGTCTGTTTATAATACTTAGGCTACCATTGCTTAAAATCGAGAATCTCACTAGTTTGAACTTATTTTACAGTAGACTTGCTTTTGGCACTTGAATTAAAAATAATTTCTGTGAACTTATGAATTTCAAATATTCTGTCAAATTTTTTTAAGTACCTTTTTATGACACCGAAGTCCCTGTCACAGGGCAAGAAGGAGTGCCCTCTAATGGGAAAATAATGTTCAATTTTATTGAAGGGCCTCATATTTGTAAGGGTCAGACATATTCTTATAATAATGTCCCTATCGTGACACTGTCTAACAGTATCCTTTAAATTCGTATAAAACTTATTTGCCCTTTTATTATGTACCAACAATTCTGCAACAGCCACTTTTTTTGAGGCATCTTCCAGACAGAGATTTGTGATTTTTAAGTACAACTCTTCACATGTTTCGCAAGTGTCTATTTGAGGACGACCAAATTTTAAAGTAAAGTTTTCGCGAAAAAATATATCATAATAGCTGTATTTAATTTTCGTTTCAGGATACTTGGATCTAAACATTTCGTACATAATTTCTATATTAAGCCTACTACTTAGATATTTCTTCTTTTACTGGATTTTACTCTTTTACTGGATAGCTTTGTGCTGACGAATTAATATGTTTTGATCTTCTGGCATTGCCCGTTTAATATTTTTACTACATTTATCTCTAGGAGTCAGATTACTTTTAATCAATGATTATATTCGTTTTATTCTTTTTTCAGATACAGAATGCAAATTGAAAAAAGCTCTACAACACACTTTTACTTTCAGATCTCCAACGACCAACGCTCCAATTAATAAAATGATCTAAAGATACTTCCCTCAATTTATTGTTTCATTGTTCTGGCTTCTTCGTTTTGCTACAGTTTTCTGATGTATCAGGCCTTAAAAATATATATCCTGTTCATTCTGGTTTGGCATTTTTAAAAATTTCCAAATATTATTTGCTTTTGCTTATCGTTTAGCTTAGTGCATTTTACATCTAAAAAATAACGCAACTATCTACCTAGGCTATTCAATATATAACTGTATTTAACCTCCAATTTGCCTGGCAGCAACCATTTTACCTTTATAATCTGTATACGCAGTACCACTGACTCTAGCTGTTTAGATTAAATTTCTTTGGTAAATATCATTATTTCTCACACCTCGCCGTCTTTTTCCAAAATTATCTGATTGAGGTGGCTCCCCTTCACTTTCAGTGCTTCTATTTTCGTCCAAACTAGACATTTTGCCAGAAAAATATGATTATATTACTCTTAACTGCACACAGTATCGACGCCGGTAAATCACTGAAAATATTTCGCGACACGAGGCTTGCATTTTAAACCTAAACAGAGCGCAAGGTCAAATACAGCATGACACAAATTTAAATATTTATTTCTTAAAGGGACTAAGTTAGTTTACTTAGGTCCTTTCTGCGCTAAACCAATTTAGTTCATTTCTGCACCAAACGGTTGGTTTTGGATCAATAATAAATTTTGCATATTAAAAGAAAAATGGCCGAAATAGCCTTTTCAGAAATAATCGATTTAATTACTTATTTGTCGTAAAATATACGAAAAAAAAATATTTGGGTTACAGTTGAAGCACGAATAGGTCTATACTCCAAAAATATTTACAGGGCCACCCATATTGACAGGGTGGAACAAATTTATCTTTTTTTTTTTAATGGAACACCCTCTATATTTTTATATTTTTGGACTCTTCTCGACGTTCTAGTTTTTTAACTATAAGATTTGACAGTATTATAAGAGGTAATTTTAAAGATAAATTCATTTTCTTATTAATTTCGTAGCAAAATTAACACCCTGTAGAGTTGTAGAGATTTGATATCAAAAAATATATTTATATCTAAAAGATTTTTGATATAGTCTACTATTGTATAAAATAATTTACAAAGTGAATAATTACACTCAAGAATGTACAAGATACTAGAAGAACTTAGCGGGTCAACACAATTCGGTTTTAAGGGGGGACTAGGAACAAGAGAGGCAATTTTATGTTTGAACACCTTAATACAAAACTGCTTAGATCAACGAAAAGATGTCTACCTCACCTTCATCGACTACGAGAAGGCATTTGACAATGTTAAACATGATATCATGATGGAACTACTATATAGGGCCAACATTGACCAGAAGGAGATCAGAATTATTCAGAATCTATACTGGAACCAAATGGCAAAGGTGAGGATTGATCAAGACCAATATACGGATGAATTTGAAATCCGGAAAGGTGTCCGCCAAGGCTGCATACTCTCTCCGATGCTTTTTAATTTATATGTTGAAAATATATTTGCGGAAGCATTAGAAGACACGGAATTAGGCATTAAGGTGAACGGCATACCAATTAGCAACCTACGCTATGCGGACGACACAGTGATTATAACTGATAATTTTGAAGATCAGCAGTGATTACTTGATAGGGTGAATAGCATAGGTAAAAAATATGCCTCAAAATCAACATTTTGAAAATGAAATATGTGGTCATTAGCAGAAACCCTCCAGAAAACCCGATAATATGCATAGGTGACGATCGTATAAAACTCGTGTGAAAACTTTTAAATACCTTGGCACCACAATCAATGACCAATCGGATCCACAACACGAAATAAAAACCCGAATTCAAATGGCAAGACAAGCTTTTGTGAAATTCAGACCGCTCCTATGTAATCAAAACCTAAATTTTGAAATACGCTAAAGAACGGTCAAGTGCTACATATGGTCCATCTTGCTTTATGGCATGGAAACGTGGACTTTGAAAAAAACATCTATCAACAAACTTGAAGCATTTGAAATGTGGTCATTGAGAAGAATGATGCGCATACCTTGGGTGGATAGAGTTCGAAACGATGACGTCCTTAAGAGAGCCCGCGTGGAAAGAGAACTCTTTGAATTAATTAAAAAACGCAAGATTGGTTACCTTGGGCACATATTGAGAGGAGCAAAATATGAAATACCACAGTTAATCCTACAAGGGAAGATCGAAGGTGGGAGAGAAGCCGACCGCAAACAATTATCCTGGTTAAGGAATATTAAAGAATGGACAGGAATACACAATACAGGCGAGCTGTGTCACGCCGCCAAGAACAGAATTCTAGTAATGTGATAGTCGCCTACGCACTTTGGTGTATGACATGTTAAGAAGAAGAAGAACAAAGTGAAATTTTAATTTTGATATACAGTGTGGGTCGAAACACAGAATGAGTATTTTCTGAGTTTTCTTAAATGGAACACCTTGTATTTTATTATTGTAACGAAATGTTATTTTATGATAATTTATTATTTATTAAGCATTTCCTATACCTAACTGCTTTAATTTGTAAGTTATTCGTGTTTTTTTGTACAAGGTGTTAATTTTGCTAGTAATCTTAATAGAAAAACGTAAATCTTTTAAATTACCTTGTATCACACTGCCAAATTTTATATTAAACGAGAACATCGAGAAGAGTCGAAAAATGTAAAACTATACAAGATTTTCTATTAAAAAAGGTAAGTGTGTTCCACCCCGTCAATATGGATGGCCGTCAAATATTTGAAAACATTTTTAGAGTATGATTCTATCTGTTTTTCAACTATAACCTAAATATTTTTTGTCGCATTTCTTACGACAAATGAGTAATTGGACTTTCTTACACTAATGTCACACACTGTATGTAACTTAATAATTATGTGTAACAAATAATACAACAGAAAAATGTAAGACACAGTTGCACAGACAAAACTTTGAGAAACTCTCGAGGAGCAAAAAATCAATTCAAAACGTATATTTGCGTAAAAGACCTGCTTTTGCTCACATTAAAATAGAAAGCAAAATTTTACAAAACTAAAGTATATCCCAAGCTTATATTTGTAATTTGTTTGGAACAAGTATGAAAGTTCTAGAGCAACCTTACCCATACTGATAGCCATAAGGAAATGAGAAGATAAAAATAAACTACCAAAATGAATCGCCTACTTTTTATAAGTTTAAGCGGTACATATAGGTAAATTTATATATTTAATTTACGTCAATATTCACTCCCGGACTATAAGTAATTGAATGAGCTCAGTTCGTCGCGTCGCTTCTCATGGACGCGCAGTTCGGAGAAAATCGTGTGGCTTTGCGAAGTTTCTAGAATTCGACCAATTGGAATGGATAAACATATTAATTAATTAGATTTATTCTATTTTTGTTTTAGGTATCGGATGTCAAATAGCAGGGTTTTTAACCGTTTTTTCGAGCCACTTATCTATATATACATTAACCATAGTAACACTGGAGCGGTGGTTCGCCATTACCTACGCTATTCATCTAACGAAAAGGATTACTATCAAATGTGCCATGTACATTTTGCTTGCAGGTTGGGTTTACTCATTTATTATAGCGATCCTCCCGATCGTTGGAATAAGCAACTATAGTAGCACAAGGTAAATGTGATTGTATATACTTTTTAAATAACCTCAAAATTGATTACAAAATTTACCTAATCAATCGATCTCCAAGGGGTTCTGGTGGAAGTTTGATGAGGGGTGGTTTGTCTGGTTGGGCTGTGTGATAGATTTGGGGTTCGTGTTTTAGGGTGTATTCTGGGAATTTTGGATAAAGGAGGGGTTTGTCTAATTTGGTCGGTGGAGATTAGTCTGTGCGATGCAGGTAAATAAATTTTTTAATGGTGTGGGTAAAATATTAGTTAGGGAAACGTGATTAACCCAAAGGATCTACAATAATTGTAACAATTTATAATCTGCTTATAGGGAGCTAAAAGGGGAGACTGAACAATTACTGAGCTTGAGTAGAGGGTAAGAAAATAAACTGAAACGTTTGCGAACGGCTATTTGTGCTGTGGTTGGAGAGCTGAGTCATGGATTTTAATTCCTTCTTTAACTGGGGAACTGGGAGAACTAACTACGAAAAAGAAATAAAAAAAAAACAGAGATATCCTGGGCAACACTAAGCAAGAAGATTCTTAAAATTAGGACGCCAACAATATATTTAGTTGGACATTCTAACAAACAGAATTAAAACTATGATTATGTTATGTACCAAATTGCAGAAAAGAATGTACTAACTGTCATATGTCGAAATGAACTTTTTTGAATTATTAATTAATTATCAAAAGTTAGTTTTATTAAAAAAAAAACGAAAATATGACAATTAGCTGATACATAAAATTTAAATTGACATGAGAGCAAATTTTATTGTATTAACGATGAACGTTTATATAGAAAAATTTAACCAAACTACTTGCTTCACTGGCTGATTATTTCTTTTTAAATTATAAGAAAAAGTTTGCTACCTCAGATTTGAATAAAAAAACACTGTCCCACTAACTTCAAAACAATCAAAACCTGAACTTTGAAAAACACAAAATGTAGGCAGCAGCTTAACAAATCCTGGGGAAAATTAAATCAAATACCAAAACTGGACTTCAGGTTATCCTAGATGATAACAATATGTATGTATTCTTTAAACTCGGCTGCATCTTTTCCACTTAAAATCATGCCGGCTTGCTTAGTCCTTTGGACGCTGTTATTAACTACCTTGTCAAAGAATACAACAACAAACTGGTGATGTATTTTCACTTTACAAAAAACTCACTCATTTTACAAAAATTGCCACATAGTATTTTGAGCTCAAATCACCTTCTTCCCACCAAAACTTATGGAATTAAGCGAAACTTTTGCCGGTTTTCAAAACTCTACCGAAAAACGATGTTTCTCCGTTCATTCCCTAAATTCGTTGATTGAATAATCCAAATATTCAATCAACGCTAAATTGTTTTCTTTTCCTAGACCGCCACACACCCCGTCAAACTCGTACCATCTCGTACTAATTTTTACTCGCAACCAATCGGATCTCTATTCTGAGATTTCTTGGATTCGAAATTGAATTTTAAAGCGCCGTGCCTTCTAATTTTTGTAATGAACTTATTTAAATTTAAGGCAATTAAGGCTAGGTCAAATTCGACAATTACACAGTTAATATTGTTTCTGATGATGTGGCACTTAGGGATGTGTAGTTCACCATCGAAATAGTTCTAATAACGATTCTTTCAATTGAACTAATTGAACTAGTTCATTAATCTTCATAGAACTAGTTCACTGCGAACGATTTGCATTATAAATTATGTCTCGACTTCTAAAGAAAATAATGAATGAATGAATTAGAACATATATTTATTATTTTGTGAATGGATGGACTAACTAGTTTTAAAAAAATGCCGCTTAGCCTCAGATAACAGATTCATAATTCTTATGAATGAGACAATACCATAAGGTCTTATCTTAGTGTCATAATGCTTTGGATCTTATGCCCATGTATTGGCTTGGATGTTGCCATGCTGTGTTGTTTCTTGTATTGTAATTTTGAAATAAAAATTTTAGTTGTGGTTAAAATGATTGAGGCATTTACATAAAATATAATTTTATGTAAAAGTGAGAATGAAAATATGTTATTTATTGTTCCTAGAAAATTCACTCATTTTTTTTTGTAAAGGTTATTTTAGATATAACCTAAATATAAATACCTATGAGTTTAAATATACGTAAATATTAAAATAAATCATACTTGAACCATATTTATATTTAAAACGTTAATAAAAAACAAATCTTAATAATTTTTTGCAAATAAAAACTAACTAATCATATAATAATTTAAACCTAAATATACGATCGAAAGAAATAGTTCCGAACTACTTGTACGGTAGTGAACTAGTGAAAGACTGACTGAAAGAAAGAAATAGTTCCGAACTACTTGCACGGTAGTGAACTAATGAACTAGTGAAAGACTCACTGACTGAAAACCGAAGTAAACGGGAGGCCAGCGCCGAGCTTGTGTAATGATTGAGACGAGACATCCGGCAACCAGTTCTATTAGGGTTGGATTTCGATGTCGGTCCTACAAATAGTTCTTTCGCGAACTAGTTCACTGAACTAGTTCATTTTTGTGAAATAGTTCTGTTGAACTAGTTCGTCTAAAAGAACTAATAAGCACACCTCTAGTGGCACTGATACACTTGGGTAAACAACTTGAGGTCGCTGTGACGTATCAGCCAGGGGCGTATCAAAAAATGTTTGTTTAATATTTAAATATTCGATATTTAAAGAAACAGATCATGCTATACAATTAGTAATTTTTTATGAGCCTAGGCTGGTTAATACCTCAGAATAATTATTCACATAACTGGCACAAGATGATACCTTTGCTGAATATGTCATATTAAAAAACGATACCTAAAAATAAGGATGCCCATAATAAAAAGATATTAAGAAAAAAATACAGAAAGAATGTTTGCAGTCCAAAAACTTTTCTTTGCTTTAAAATCTAAATATGTTAATTGAAAATTGAATATCTGAAAATACATACGATGAAGTGAAGGTTTTATAAGATAAGCCACCAAATTAGAGGCAAACAGAAATTCTTGATACCAGTCTATAGCACAGAATAATAAACAATCAGAATGCCCACTCTGCTTGTCAAGATCTCGATCGCGATGACTGAATTAGCCATATTTTAAACGGAACCAGTTCTGTTCAGTGACATTTTATCTGTTGTACATAGAAAAATTAACCCAGTTTAATTTATTTACGGCAACCATAGACATAATGTACACTATTTTATTCGTACTTTTAGTTGAATAATAGATTAAATTATTTCAAATTTACTAAATTATTATTATCTAAAAAATTAAATTTCAGTTATGTCGTAGCTTGTCACAAATTTCTCAATTCGAGTCTCTGTTTCCATGCGATCTGCGATTAAAATATGGCGATCGCGTGCTGACACACTTAAAAGGCTACATCTAAGAGTGAGCATTCTGATTGTTATTTATTTTGTGTCTATAGTATCGAATAATTTCGTTCTTAAGGCTGTTTTATCGGTGCACCAAAACCTAGGAACTGTTATTTACCGACAAAATTATGGTTTTACTTTTTTATTTTTTTGAAACTTCTGTTGAAAAATTGGATTATACTGTTTAACGTTCTATTATAACCAAACTTTTTGTGCCCATCACTTGAAAGAGTTTTTTTTTCTGTAATCGTTGATTTTTTTTTTTCACTTTTCTGTGTCCAGTAATAATCGAGAAAAGCGTGTTCAAACTTTGAAGAAAATTGCTAAAAAATACTAAAATCTAATAGTGAAACGTGTTACTCATCATTGTCGCTTAGGTTCATCGTTATCGCATTCGTGACGTCAAATCTCATGAGCGTATGGTCAGTTAGAGTTTGTGTTAAAACTAATTTGAATATAGAGTAATGCATTTGTTGCCCGTTGGCCGACTCCACTGAGTAAAGATAGTCCCGCGTTAGCAGTGTAGAAATGTAAGTGATACGCCCATTTCAAATCGCAGTGTGCTTGAATTGCTAAAACAGCCTTAACGTTTTTAATCTTTTTACGATTTTTTTTTCATAAATTTTAGTTTAAAATGAGATACTATTTTTTAATGCACTGTAATAATTATTTTAGCATATGCCTACCGATGGAAAGTAAAGAAGTCGTCGACAAAATTTATTTATACACTGTAATATTTATTAATGGAGCAGCGTTTGCTCTTATCGTTTTTTGCTACGTTCAAATATATCTCAGTCTTGGCTACGAGACCAGAAGAGCTAGCACTAAAGGCGAGATGACCATCGCGAAGAAAATGTCATTACTTGTTCTTGTGGATTTTGCAACAGTTGCTCCAGTTGCATTTTTTGGATTGACTGCCTTGGCTGGATATCCTTTGATCGGCGTCACGAAATCGAAGATATTGTTGGTGTTCTTTTATCCGTTAAATGCCTGTGCCAATCCTTATTTATATGCTGTGATGACAGCCCAATATAGACAGGATTTTCTAAAGCTAGTTTCAAGGTAAGTAGTTACATTGAAAGCTACAACAGTATTCAATTTAGTGAATAATATGTTAGATAATATATTATGTATAATATAATAAATTTTGATAAACAAATAATTGTCCTTATTTTTCTTTTATTTAGGATTTAGGTCTTGTTATTCTTATTTTCTTTTATTTAGGTCCGTTTTTCTTATTTTATTTCCTTGCTCCCTCTTTCTCTTGTCGTTTCCCCATTACTGAGGATCGTGATTTCTTTCATTATTCCTAACCATTTTTCTCCATTGGTCTCTATCTTCAGCTGCTCTGGGAGCTTCGCAGAATGAGTTTCCAGCTAAATTCTTAATTTGGTCGGACCATCTAGTTGGTGATTGTCCTCTTGATCGGAACGTTCACGTCGTTTAGGTTTAATTTCCTACATCCTCCTCGACAACAAAACTATCTGTATATATATAATATAAAATACATTGCTAAGTTTCTCAACTAATGTACTCTTCTTCTTCAAGTGCCGTCTCCATCAATGGAGATTAGCGGTTATGCTGGCAAAGGAAACGGTATCAGTTTCTGATATTACGTAACCAGGACAATTTTTTTCTTCCAATTCCTCGCTTTCCTTCTATTTTGCCTTTTATTATCAACTGAGGGATGTAGTATTTCTCGTTGCGCAACAAATGCCCTAAATAACTGGTTTTTCTTCTTTTGACTGTTCTCAATAGTTCTTTTTCTAAATTGAGTCTAGCTAGTACTTCTTTATTTGTTTTTCGTGCTGTCCAAGGAATTTTTAAAATTCTACGGTACACCCACATTTCAAATGCCTCGATTCTATTCAGGCTCTTTATTTTTAAAGTCCACGTTTCGGCTCCGTAGAGAAGAACAGACCAGATAAAACATTTTACAAGTTTTAATCTCAATTTAATATTTATATGTGTATCGCAGAATAGAACGCGCATCTTAAAGAAACTATCCCTAGCTTGAGCAATTCTCGCTTTAATTTCTTGTTCTGGGTCCAGCTTGCAATTAATTCAACAGCCAAGGTATTTGTATTGGTTTACCTGTTCTAAAATATTCCCATTTATTTTTATAGGTAAGGGGATATTCTGTTTTCTTTGGATCACCATTACTTTTGTTTTTTTTTTTCGTTGATCTTCATTCCAAACTCTCGACAAGCATCCTTAAGGTGGTCTATAACCCTCTGTAAGTTTGTGTCTGTATCAGCCAGTAGGACAGTGTCATCTGCATATCTTATGCTAGATATTGGTTCTCCATTAATTTTTATTCCTGTGGAAAGGTTTTCCAAGGCTTGCTTGAATAGTAGTTCCGAGGTAAAGATTGAACAGCATAGGGGATAGTATGCATCCTTGCCTTACTCCTTTATTTATACTAATATTTCTAGATGTATGATCGTCGATCCTAATCTTGGCACTCTGCCTCCAATATAAGTTCTTAATTAATCGGAGATCTTTACTATCCAAGTTGATGCTCTGCAAGGAATTTAACATTTTATTATGGTTTACGCGATCAAATGCCTTTTCAAAGTCTACAAAACATAGAAAGACATCCTTTTGTTGGTCGTAACACTTCTGCAGCAGTATTTGTAATGAAAACAAGGCCTCTCTGGTCCCCATTCCGGCTCTGAATCCAAATTGATCGTATCCAACTTCTTTTTCACACCTTTTGTATACCCTATTGTGAAGTATTTTTAATAGAATTTTAAGCACTTGGCTCATAAGACTTATTAATCTAAAATCTGGTATCATTCCTCTGGTATTTCCCCAGTATCGTAGATTGTATTAAACAAAATTACTAACAAATCAATGTTATTACTTTTGATCAATTTAAGTATTTCAGGATAAACTTCATCAGGTCCAGGGTTTTTGTTGGTCTTTAATTGTTTAATGGCATATTCCACTTCGACTTTTAGAATTGTGGGCTTTCAGTAACATTATTTATTGTAATGTCTATTCTTTCATCTCGGAACAGCTGTTGTATAAATTTTTCCCATTCTTCTATTTTATCTTTGGTGTTATGAATTAACTCTCCGTTGTTATTTACCAGTGGGCAATGTTGTTTTTTGCGGATGAATGAAAATTCTTTCACCTTCTTGTACATATTAAAGTAATCATGTCTATGTTCTAATTCTTCTATTTCTTTACATTTTTCTTCGAGCCATTTCTCTTTTGATTCTTTTATTTTCCTTCGTATTTCTGTATTTAATCGTTTGTAATCGATTGTGTTCTTATTTTTGTATTTCCTCCTTTCGTCTATCATCTTTAGAATAGCTGGTGTCATCCAGTCTTTTTTTGGCATTAATCGTGTATTTGGACTAATGTTCTAATGTACTAATGATTTATATTTTCCAGGTGCAAAAACTGTAACAAACATATTGAGCCTCACAAGACCGATTCCGTTCCGTTGTCTATATCCAACCACACGCACAAAAATGGCTGTTGTGCAACACAAGATTAACACACTTGACAGTAGTTTATAAAAGACTTTTGTCTCATTTTTGTGAGATGTATCAAGAAGTCTCAAATTGCTCTGCAAAATTTGCAGAACATTTTTTATATAATTTATTTAGGTGTTCTCTCTTAGCTCTAAGAGTAAAATGTCCTTGATTAATGTAATGACAAAAAGTATTAATGCATTATATTTTTAAAGATTTTCAGTAAGATATTTTATCCGTTTAGAAGAAGTTTTATATATTTTTTATTTAGTTATATACATTGAGGTTCTACTATTGCTTTTGCATTTGTATTGTTATTATTTAATAACATTATTATTATTATTATTAATATTTAAAAACAGATACAAATTGGTCTGATTACAAAAACCATCAAGCTAAGGTGAGACAAATGATAAGACAGAAAAAAAATGAATCCTGGGATCAAATCTGTCAAAAATTAAATACGTACATAGGAGGAACTAGAAGTACAGAAATCTGGAAACTTATTAAATCTCTTAGGACCAACGGCAAGAAAAAAGATTTAATCTCACCAATTTCGTTAGAAACATGGGACATGTACTTCAGTAAACTGTTACAAGAAGACCGAATAGAATTCAAAATAAAAGAAAGTAACCAAAACATACGCGTTGAAGCATCTCCTATAAGAATCACGAAAAAGGAAGTAAGGGATATCTGTATTTCACTCAAAAACAAAAAAGCGCCCGGACCTGGCAATATACCCTCAAAACTGATAAAATATGGAACTGAAAAAACTATATGAGCATTTGACAATACTCTTTCAAAACTGCATAAACAAAGTAGAGGTTCCAGCCGAATTTAAAACCTCAATCATTTCAACTTTACATAAAAAGGGAAACAAACAAAATTGCGACAATTACCGTGGAATAGCAGTTACTAGTACCATTAGTAAAATCTATGGGAAAATGATCAAAAATAGAATAGCAAGAGAATACACTGATATGGAGGCAGAAGAACAGGCGGGTTTTAGAGCTGGTAGATCGACCATAGACCACCTTTTTTGTATCACCCAACTTATAGAAAAAAAGGTTGCTGTAGATCAAGAAGTCCACTTTTTGTTTGTTGATCTAAAAAAGGCCTACGATAGCATCCCTCAAAATAAGTTATGGAACACTCTCAGACAGACGAACATCAACTCAAATCTCATAACAGCAGTGGAAAAACTATATGAGAACGCCAACGCCAAAGTTAAAATAGGAACGAATGTTTCCAAAGGTTTTGTAGTAGACAAAGGACTGAAGCAGGGATGCTGCTTAGCGCCGACACTTTTCAAAATATATCTGGAACAAGCATTAAAACTCTGGAAGCGGAAATGCAGCGGCATGGGTATACAATTAAACAATAACAACCTGTACACTCTATGTTTTGCTGATGATCAAATTGTGATTGCTAACGAATATGACGACCTAGAATACATGACTCGAAAATTAATCGAAGAATACAAAAAATGGGGATTAGAAGTCAACATAGATAAAACAATGTACATGAACATCGGTGGTAAAGAACAAAATCTAGTTTTAAACGACGGACAACACATTAAGTAGAACAATAAATATTCCTATTTAGGAGTAGAAATCACAGACGATGGCAAATCAGATCAGGCTATAAAAAAACGAAACACTCAGGGTAGAAGGGCCATATCTCAACTAAATAGTATTATCTGGGATCAACATATATCCAAAAAAAAATAAACATCGAATATATAACACTATTATAAAGAGCATAGTAATGTATGGAAGTGACGTGTGGCAGTTAAAGGCAACTACTGAAAGAACACTACAAGCCACGGAGATGGACTACTGGAGACGGGCCGCAGGAAAATCAAAACTCGAAAGAATTAATAACGAACGTATACGAGAGGTTATGGGAGTCACACATACGATTGTCGAAGATATAAGAGTACAACAATTAAAGTGGTATGGACATGTGCAGAGAATGCCAGAACATCGTCTGCCCAAACAGATTATAGATTGGTCACCACATGGAAAGAGAAAAAGAGGCCGACCCAGAAAGAGCTGGAGAGAAGGAATAGACAGAGATCCGAGAGAGAGGTTTAGACGAAGATCTTTGGGAAGATAGAGATGCATGGAGATTGGGGCACCGATTATATATATATATATTTATATATATATTATATATATATATATATATATATATATTATATATATATATATAGAGTGTGTGTAACGACGCTAAGAATACAATTCTTTGGAGGGTAACTTTCGGGAAAGCGTCAAAACAAGGATCAGCTAGAGATGGTATAAGCCAGCTTGGTGTAGAACTTTATTCTATATGTGAAATTTTCGGTGATATGTTGTCACCTTCATCAGCACCTAAATGGAAAACCTATTATAGTACAGTGGTGGAAATCAACATTTAAAAACCTACATTGAAAATGTTCAGTTGGTCCTAGTTGTAAAAAACACTGTCACAAACATGTTAAAAATATTAAAAAATACATTTAAAATTTTGAATAAAAACATTACAACAACAGGGTAGTTTTTCAAATACAAACACAACAAAAAATCTAAAATTTACAACCTACAAAAACTACAAATAGAAAAGAAGAATTAATCTTCTTTTTTGATGACATATTTCTGTCAACATCCGGGTGTCATATGTAACGAGGTTATAATTTTCACTTTTGCACATCACAACCACATGGATACGAAAAGAAAGAGCCCTAGGCAATATAATAAACAAGGAAATGAAGTCCCCTCTAAAGCACAGGTAGGTAATCTATGCATGTCATGATAAGTTCCCCACATTTTCCAGTTTGTTACTTCTTGTCAAGTCTGTTGAAGTAGAAAGGAATAAATACAACTTAAGTTTTCAACATCTTTCTTACAGTTCATAGGAGAGCTGCAGTTATGGATGTAGCACATTTCTATGAAGTTTCTCTTAAATTGGTTGTCAACCCTCTTTAGTACTTGCACATTTTCATAGTTAGCAGTGTGTCCAGTATTCTTAATATGTTGGCTAAAGGCTGTGCTGGTGGGCTTCGCACAGGAGTGATGTTGTGAGGAAGCCCACCAGCACAGCCTTTAGCCAACATATTAAGAATACTGGACACACTGCTAACTATGAAAATGTGCAAGTACTAAAGAGGGTTGACAACCAATTTAAGAGAAACTTCATAGAAATGTGCTACATCCATAACTGCAGCTCTCCTATGAACTGTAAGAAAGATGTTGAAAACTTAAGTTGTATTTATTCCTTTCTACTTCAACAGGACTTGACAAGAAGTAACAAACTGGAAAATGTGGGGAACTTATCATGACATGCATAGATTACCTACCTGTGCTTTAGAGGGGACTTCATTTCCTTGTTTATTATGTTGCCTAGGGCTCTTTCTTTTCGTATCCATGTGGTTGTGATGTGCAAAAGTGAAAATTATAACCTCGTTACATATGACACCCGGATGTTGACAGAAATATGTCATCAAAAAGAAGATTAATTCTTCTTTTCTATTTGTAGTTTTTGTAGGTTGTAAATTTTAGATTTTTTGTTGTGTTTGTATTTGAAAAACTACCCTGTTGTTGTAATGTTTTTATTCAAAATTTTAAATGTATTTTTTAATATTTTTAACATGTTTGTGACAGTGTTTTTTACAACTAGGACCAACTGAACATTTTCAATGTAGGTTTTTAAATGTTGATTTCCACCACTGTACTATAATAGGTTTTCCATTTAGGTGCTGATGAAGGTGACAACATATCACCGAAAATTTCACATATAGAATAAAGTTCTACACCAAGCTGGCTTATACCATCTCTAGCTGATCCTTGTTTTGACGCTTTCCCGAAAGTTACCCTCCAAAGAATTATATATATATATATATATTATATATATATATATATATATATATATTGTTATTATTTTTGTAATCAACCTCTTGATAAGGTAGATAATATGTATTATTGATTCGAGCGTTTTTACTAGTTATGTTGTGTTCTACTTACACTAAATATTCCAGTCTATATATGTATACCTCTTACTAAGAAAAGTACTTGTCACAGTAAAGTACTTCTAGGCAGTAAACAAAGTAATTCTATAAAACGATCGACATCTTAACTTGACAGTGAAGAATACAGGCAGCGGAGATTAAGAAGTGTTTAAGGCAGAAAGATCACGAAAATACAGTCATACAACCATTGTTAAGAAGAAACAAACAAAGCCTGGTTCCTATAATGAAAAATAAGAAAAGTAATAAAAGAAGAAAAGGAAATAATCCGCGTAAAATAAAGAAATGCAAATTTTTGATTACACTTTGGACGGATCAGGGAAAATAAAGAATGGATGACTGATGAAATTGTGCAGATGATGGACCAAAGGAGATTAATGAAAACAGGGACGCCAAGAAACTCCAAGAAATCAACCAAATACTTAAAGAAGAAATACGAAGAGCCAAGGAGATATGGATGCAAGAAAAATGTACACTAATAGAATAGCTCCAAGTGAAACAAGATCATATAAATATCCACCGAAAGATTCGAGAAGCCACTGGTCAATACAAAAGGAGAAACACATACGTCCTCATAAACAAAGACGGGAACCTGGCGACGACAGTTAAGGAGAAGTTGGTGACCTGGAAAATGTACATCGAAGAACTTTTCTGGAACTACCGAGGTAACCTTCCATAAATAAATTGCATGACAGGGCCGTCAATACTAGAAAGTGAGATATAAGCAACTTTAAAACAGTCTAAGAATGGTAAGGCCACAGGTCCGGACAAAATACTATTTGAACTTGTTAAGGTGTGGATTTGGAAAATAAATAGTCGTACTTTACTACTATTATAAAAGGCTTTATTTCCTATAACATACATACTAATTAACTAACCTAACTTAAGCCACCATACTTCTTACTACCACCTACAACTACATGATACTCATTGACATTACTATTATTGTCTGTCATGTCAACCCATGACACTATGGGTGCGTTCCGCTTACTCTTACACCAATATATCTGTGTATACAAT